GTAGAGCACTAGCCTTGAGCAGAAGTGCTCAGGGACAGTGCCCAGGCCTTGAGTTCAATCCTCCTTGAATACCAACTGGGACAAGCCATCCCAGCAACGAGCACCCAGACTCAGCCAGTCTGGGGAACAAGGGACCATGGAGAAGAGTAAGAGGAGATGATGTCACATCAGCTACTTTGTGCCTGCCCTTTCAAAATTAACCAGAGCCGGGAGGTCAGTGGAAGGAAGAAGCCTGCCCATCCAATGTCTATACCTGTCTACCTATTAACTGAACAGGAATTTATATTCTTGCCTTTGTCACCTGACTTCTCCACCTAGTCGCCTGATGTCAGAAGTAGCTAGGGACATTTCTAACAACATTTTCAGCCCCAAGTCCTTCCTCTTGCCATTTATTTGCTCTCTAGTATTTTTTTTCCAGCCCCTCAATGCTCATGAGACTTCTCCAGATTTCATCTAAGGACTCACGCCACCAAGGGACAGCTGCTGCCCACTACCTTCGCTGGGAGGAGACCAAATTCCAGCCTTTTACCCCTATGTCGACGCCCCTTGTCAGCAGGAAGTAGCCAGAGAGAATCCGCGCCCTATTTCATGATTATTAAAAGGCTGGAATGTAAGGTTCACTCCTGGATGGCTAGCAGACTCCACCCTCCTCACAGCAAAGTCTCCGCCCACTACCTGCGTTACCTAGGCAACTGGGACACCTGGAAGAGGTCACGTCTGCATCCGCTGAGGTCACATCTTAACCTGATGTGGCCACACCTTTCTCCCACCTGATCCCACTTCCCTTTACCTGGACACACCCTTCCCCACCCCCCTACCCTATATAAGGCCTAAACCGGGGCCAGACTTTCCTTTTCTTTTGCCAGCCACGAGGAGTGCCACCCTTGCCTGGTCCCAGCCAGTCTACTGAATAAACCTATCCCTTACCTGAATACCACGTGCGTGCTGGTGCTATTCTTACTCAGCTACCTCTTTTTAAAAACCTAACAGTTTTGCCGGGTGCTGGTGGCTCACGCCTGTAATCCTAGCTACTCAGGAGGCTGAGATCTGAGGATCGTGGTTCAAAGCCAGCCCGGGCAGGAGAGACAGTGAGACTCCTATCTCCAATAAACCACCAGAAAACCGGAAGTGGTGCTGTGGTTCAAGTGGTAGAGCGCTCGCCTTGAGCTGAAGAGCTGAGGGACAGCACCCAGGCCCAGAGTTCAAGCCCCACAACCGGCAAAAAAAAAAAAACACCTAACAGTTTTGTTTTGCTTTTGCCAATCCTGGGGCTTGAACTCAGGGCCTGGGCACTGTCCCTGAGCTTCTTTTGCTCAAGGCTAGCACTCTACCACTTGAGCCACAGGGCTTTCCTGTTTTCATGTGGTACTGACAAAACAAACCCAGGGCTTCATGCATGCTGGACAAGCGCGCTGTCACTAAGCCACATTCCCAGCCTTGTTTTTATTCTTATATCCAGTAATGGGGGCTTGAAATCAGAATCAGGATGTTTTTAGCTTTTTCTCAGCTTTTTCACTGATGGCTGGTGCTCTATGACTTGAACCACAGCTTCTCTTTTGGCTTTTTTGTTGTTGTTGGTCATGGAGCTTTGAACTCACAGCCTGGACACTGTCCCTGTACTTTTTTTGCTCAAAACTAGCACTCTACCACTTGATCCCCAGTGTCATTTCCAGTTTTTTCTGTTTATGGGGTACCAAGGAATCTAACCCAGTGCTTCATGCATACTAGGCAAGCACTTTACCACTAAGCCACCTTCCCATCCCAGTTATTTGCTTTTTAATTCTTACTCAAGAGCTTTAGGCTAATTGTCTGGTAAATGGCTGTTTGATGACTTTGGAAAGGGTGAGCTAATAGACAGAAACCTTTTCTGATCTTTCCCTCCTCTAAGTCCTTGATAGAGAGCCAGAAGAGCCAGGAAGAGCCTGGGCTTCAGGCACTTTTCAAGCTTCCAGAGATTTCTCTGCCCTAAGAGGCCATTGTAACGGGCAGTGCTCAGGACATTAAAACCAAGGAGCAAAACAGAAGAAAAAGCTATTCGTTTTTTCCTATTTTCTTTTAGTTTTATTGTCAAGGTGATATACAGAGGAATAGCTATTCATTTTTCTTTTCTTTTCTTTTTTGTGCCTAAACTAAGGATTTGAACAAAGGATCTGGGTGCTGTCCCTGAGTGGGTAATCATGCCTGTAATCCTGGCTAATCAGGATCAGAATATTGAGGTTTAAAGTTCAAAGGCAGCTTGTGCAGAAAAGTCTGAGACTTTTTTTTTTTTGGGTGGGGAGAGTCCACGTGTGGGCCTGAACTCAGGGCCTGGGTGCTGTCCCTTAGCTCTTCAGCTCAAGGCTAGCACTCTACCACTTGAACCACAGCGCCACTTCCAGCTTTATTCTTTTTGCTTATGTGGTGCTGAGGAATCGAACCCAGGGCCTCAGGCATGCAAAGCAAGCGCTCTACCACTGAGCCACCTTCCCAGCCCCAAGTCTGAGATTCTTTTTTTTTTTTTTGGTCCAGTCGTGGGGTCTGAACTCTGGGCCTGGGTGCTGTCCCTCAGCTCTTCAGCTCAAGGCTAGCACTCTACCACTTGAACCACAGCGCCACTTCCAGCTTTATTCTTTTTGCTTATGTGGTGCTGAGGAATCGAACCCAGGGCCTCAGGCATGCAAGGCAAGTGCTCTACCACTGAGCCACCTTCCCAGCCAAGTCTGAGATTCTTATCTCCAACTAACCAGCAAAAAGTCCATAGTGTATGTATGGCTTAATAGTAAATGTGATAATCCCCACCAACAAAATCTATTTACTATTTACTGGCAGAAAAGTTCCTTCTGTTGTCTAGCCTCAGTCTTTCTTGCTGCAGGAAACGTAACTCTCTCCCCTGAGTCCCTTTCCCTTGCAAAAGGATATCCAGCTGAGCACCAGTGGCTCATGCCTGTAATCCTAGCTACTCAGGAGGCTGAGATCTGAGGATCGAGGTTCAAAGCCAGCCTGGGCAGAAGAGACCGTGAGACTCCTATCTCCAATAAACCACCAGAAAACCGGAAGTGGCGCTGTAGCTCAAGTGGTAGAGCGCTCGCCTTGAGCTGAAGAGCTGAGGGACAGTGTCCAGGCCCAGAGTTCAAGCCCTACGGCTGACCAAAAAAAAAAAAGAAAAAGCAGGAAGTGGTGCTGTTGCTCAAATGGGAGAGTGTTAGCCTTGAGCAAAAGAAGCTCAGGGACAGTGCCCAGGCCCTGAGCTCAAGCCTCAGGACTGGCAAAAAAAATTTTAAAAATAGAAGAATTTGAGCAGGTGCTCAGAAACATCATTGAGAGTAGCTCATTAGCAGGTTAGGTGCTGGTCCTAGGATTTGAACTCAGGGCCTGGGCCAGCTTTTTGCTGGTTAGTTGGAGATAAGAGTTTCATGGGATTTCTTGTCTGGATTGTCCTCTGATGGGAATCTGCATTGTTCTCATAACCCAAGGTTGCCTCCCCAACTCACTCACCCAGCAACTCTTCAGGCCCTTTTTTTTTTTTTTTTTGTCAGTTGTGGGGCTTGAACTCTGGGCCTGGGCGCTGTCCCTCAGCTCTTCAGCTCAAGGCCAGCGCTCTACCACTTGAACCACAGCACCACTTCTTGCTTTTTTCCTTAATGTGGTATTGAAGAATTGAACCCAGGGCTTCATGCAGGCTAGCCAAGCACTGTAAGCACTAAGCAGCATTCCCAGCCCAAGATCTTTATTCCTTGTGTGTGTGTGTGTGTGTGTGTGTGTGCGCGCGCGCGTGTGTCAGTCGTGGGGCTTGAACTCAAGGCCTAGGTATTGTCCCACAGCTTTTTTGCTCGAAGATTGCGTTCTACCACTTTGGGCCACAACTCCACTTCTGTGGTTCCAATCCATTAGCGGAGGGAAGAGACCCGGGGAGGCTGGCATGGATGGGCTCCTTGTTGTCTTCTTCCCATTTGAGCAACAAGCCAGGGCTTCGATCTCGCAGCAATGAAGTGTGAGGACGCAGGGAGCATCACACACCATACAGTTCACCGAGAGCTTCCTGCACTGAGGTTTTCCCCGGGGCTGCCATGGAGGCACAGGTGAGGAGCCCTTTGTGGTATACAGGATGGAGGGTGGGAGGCCAGCGAGGTGGCTGGAGCAACGGTGGGGGCAGAACAGTGGAGCCCAAGAAGTGGGGGCGTGAGGTGATGGCTTGGAGGTGGGGCTTGGGGAGGTGGGGCATGGGGGGGAGAGTAGGTGGGGCTGGAGGAGGCGAGCAGGTGAGTGGGGTTAGAGGAGAAAGAACTGGATGTGAAAGACCTCACACCTGGAGAAGGCTGGGGCTTGTTTTTCTGGTTTTGGGGTTTTTCTTCTGTCCGTGTGGGTCTTGAACTCTGGGCCTGGGCGCTGTCCCTCAGCTCTTGGCGAGCGCTCTACCACTTGAGCCACAAGGCCACTTCCGGCTTTCTGGTGGTTCATTGGAGATCAGAGTCTCCCTTACTTTCCTGCCCGGGCTGGCTTTGAATCTGGAGCCTCAGATCTCAGCCTCCCGAGTCACTAGGACGACAGGCGGGAGCCACCGGCGCGCGGCAGGTTGTAGTAGTTATTGCTGTTGTTTTAAGTCAACTTCTCCAGCCTTGAAAATGAAAGGATCCAAAGAGCAGGCTTTCTATGTAGGAGCACAGAGACACCGAGCGGAGCACACAGAGCACAGCTCACGTCTTGTTCTTTGGCATTTTATTTCAAAACAAAAAAACGAAACCGGCAACAGCGGGGGTCCGGCCTGAGAACGGAGATGAGTTGCGGCCCAGGCGCGTCCTCGGCCCCCAGCAGAGGACGCGGGTCCAAGCCACCAGGTCTGGCCCTTTGGCGTTGGGAGTGTGGAGGCCACGCGGGGGCGCTAGAGAGCCGGCGTGCCGTTCCCGGCCCCAGTGGGGGCGCTACACAGCCGGCGTGCCGGCCCGGCCTTCTTATTGCACTTGAGGAGTGGGAGGCAGGCGGGCGGGGCTCGGCGCTACAGGTCTCTGGATCTTGAGGCTGGTGTGGGGACGGCTCCGGGGGGCTTGAGGGGGGGGTGGGGAGGCGGGTGTCACACCTGAAGAATCCACTCGTGGACATTTGTTCCGTACTGCGAGACAATGGAGACCGGAAGTGAGCCGCACTACAACTCCCAGCAGGCCACGGGGCACCATGGGCCAACATGGTGCTGCGCCCCGGGACCTCATGGGAAATGTAGTCCAACTCCCTGAGCGCCGCCACCACGCCCCGGGAAGGGAGTTGTCCAGGCAGCGGCGCCCAGTTAGTTTAAAGACAGGAATTATTAGGAGTTCTGGAGACAGGGATTATTTAAAACCCCGGAGACTCTTAGACAAAAAGTTAAGACAGCCTGGTTGGCGAGAAGCAGAGCGAAGGCAGCCAGTCCAGGTGCGTGGCTGGGAAGGAGCCCGAGGTTGGAGACCAGCTCTCCCGACCAGGGAGAACTGCACAGCCTCCAGGGGCTGGCGGTGGAGCCGTTCCTGGGCTCCGCCGGACCCCGGGAGGCTGCCTTTCTGTGGCCGGGCGGCTCCCTCCATCGCGATCAGCACAGAGGCTCACAGGAAGAGGATTCTCCCACCTGCACACCAGGGGCCCCGGAGACTCATGGGAAGGGGATGCTCCCACCTGCACACCAGGGGCCCCGGAGACTCATGGGAAGAGGATGCTCCCACCTGCACACCAGGGGCCCCGGAGACTCATGGGAAGGGGATGCTCCCACCTGCACACCAGGGGCCCCGGAGACTCATGGGAAGGGGATGCTCCCACCTGCACACCAGGGGCCCCGGAGGCTCATGGGAAAGGGATGCTCCCAACTGTACAGCAGGGGTCCCAGAGGCTCATGGGAAGAAGGTTTCCCAAGCTCAAGCAGGGGCCCAGGCAGATTCCAGCGCACAAGACAGGGTTCTTTGTGGCTGGAGTTCCAGGCCACAGGAATTCATGGATAGCCTATTCAGCCCAGGGCCTCCAGGCCACCAGGAGGATTCATGTTGGGATTCATTTTCATGTTGGGGCCCATCCCCCCCGGTACCCCCCCCCCCCCCCCAGCACCTCACCTGAATGGCTCTGAGCTCCTTCTGGAAGCGCAGGGCCAGCTCAGGCCCGTTTTCCATGGTGGGAATGTGGAGTTTCTGGAGAGGAAGGAGCCATGAAGACGGGCGCCCCCCTCGTCTCCCACCCCCAATGGCTGTCCACCTCACCTGGCCTTCGTAGAGGATCCCATGCACCGGGCAGACCTGACAGGCTGTGCCCGAGCCAAAGACCTCCCGCACACGGCCCTCCTCCAGCGCCCGCAGCAGCTCCTTCATGGTGATCTTGCGCTCCACCACGCGGAACTCACCCTGCAGGGCGGCCAGAGACCCCGTTCTGCATGTCCCTCCCCACTCCAGACTCTGAGAGAAGAGGGACGGGGCCAGTGTGCCCAGGCTCCCGCCCCCCGCCCCCCTGCACCCATCCTGTGGAGCCCCGGGCTATACCCAGGATCGAGCCAGGTCCAGAAGACTCTGTCTGACCACGCCAGGCAGGATGACGCTGTCCAGCGGGGGTGTCAGGAGCTCCAGCACTAGATCAGGGGTACAGGACAGGGTTATTGCATGCCCTATAGGCTATGTCCCCCCCCTCCAGGTCCCCTGAAGCCTGCCAGGAGGGGAGGAAGCACCCACTTTCGCTCACCCCCATCCTCATGGGTCCAGTAGACAAAGATGTTCATGGTGCCCACCTCCGTGAGCTGCTGGTCAGGTCCATACAGCCACAGGACCTGCTCACAGCCCTTCTTCTGCGCCTCCTGCTGTACCAGCACTGTGGGCCCATAATTCCTGGAAGAGGGCAGCCTAGTCACACTAGACCCCTGTCCTCAATGTGGCCCTAGAAGGGGCTCCAGACCAGAGCTCACCCTGCCCCTTCCCAGCCACCCTAGGATGGAATCCTTAGCTATTATTCTGCTGTAGGCTGGGCATGGTGGCACATGCCTATCATCCCAACTACTCAGGAAAGAGATCCTATGGCAAAACCAAAATAGGAACCAAAGGGCTTGGGGCTCAGGCTCCAGTGGTACCAAGCTCAAAGTGCATGTTCTGGCTGCTATGTCCCCCTTCGTCTGTCTTCGCATCTCAGACTAACACGTGTACTGCAGTGTCTCTGCTGGGACCATCTTCCTCTCCTGCTCCCCTTGACCAGCTGCCCTACTGGCTTGCAAAACCATCTCCGAGACACCAGCCCCACGGAAGCTACTGTAGAAGGCTGGCATGGGGAACATGGCCCAGTCTGGGTGACCCAAAGTGCTGATTCTTGCAAAGGGGAAATAGCCTTTCTGGAGGCATCTAAGGGCCAAGCCTACATTTCCACTGACCCCTCAGCTCCTCCTACTAAGCCCATTGGTCTACAGGTAAAGAGTCCACCCTCCTCAGGCATTGGGGGGCAGGCACAGGATCCAGCTCTGAGCCCTGAGCAAATACCCTGGAGCTGGGGACTTCAGCACTGAGGTACAGCCCACTCATGGTGGTCTCCACACTGGGACACACTACCCTGTGACTCAGGCACTGGGGTGCTACTTACCCCCCTAGCTTGTAGTCGCCGACCCCGCCCACCCAGGCACGGATGTAGGTTGGGTCAGCCAGGAGGGAGACGGGGGTCATGGCATCTCCAGGAAAATAGGAGCTGACAGGGCAGAGAATGACGTACAGGAGGGCTTCGCTGGCCACACCAACCCCCAGCGAGGGCTGCGAGGGACAGAGAAGCTACATCAGGGGACCAGGTACAGCCTCCTCCCTCAGACCCAGGGGTCCAGGCCCCAGCCTCCTCCCTCAGACCCAGGGACCAGGCCCCAGCCTCCTCCCTCAGACCCAGGGGTCCAGGCCCCAGCCTCCTCCCTCAGACCCAGGGGTCCAGGCCCCAGCCTCCTCCCTCAGACCCAGGGGTCCAGGCCGCCAGCCCAGGGGGGAGGAGCACCCACCTGGTTCCCGATGAGCACAGGCCGCACGTAGAGGCTGGTGCCGGCCGCCTCAGGAACCCAGTCCTTGTCCACTTCGATGAGCCGGCGGATGCATTCGAGCAGCTCTCCCTTGTCAAAAGTCTGGGAGGGATTCCACAGGAGTCAGAGGGCTGGGTGGCCATTTCTACCCCTGCCCTCCTCCCTGGCTGGCCAGGCCGCTTACCGGCAGGCAGAGGCGCTGGGCCGAGCGCAGCATCCGGTCCATGTTGAGCCACGGTCGGAAGAGCCGCACCTGCTGATCCTGGTTTTTGAAGGCCTTCATGCCCTCGAAGATCTGCGGCACAGAGGGGTGCAGGTTTCAGTGCTCAGAGTCCCCACCATGGTGCCACAGGAAGTGAGACATCAGAACAGAGAGACAGATACATAGGGAGAGATGCACACAGAGCTGGGAAGAGAGAAGGAGGCAGTCAGTCACTCAGAGGGAGACATACTGACTGAGACACAGAGGGAGATTATAAATGAAGGACAGAAAGCAGCATGGTCAAGAAAGCCAGTGGCTCAAGTAGTAGAGTAACTGCCTACCAAGCATGAGGTCTTGAGTTCAATCTCCAGGACTCCCCCACAATATAATAATAAAAGTCAGGTGCTGGTGGCTCACACATGTAATCCTAGCCAGCCTGGGCAGACGTTTATTTCCAATAAACTACATAGAAAAGCTGGAAATGGGGCTGGGAAGGTGGCTCAGTGGTAGAGTGCTTGTCTTGCATGTATGAGGTCTTAGGTTCGATTCCTCAGCACCACATAAACAGAAAGAGCCAGAAGTGGTGCTGTGGCTCAAGTGGCAGAGCGCTAGCCTTGAGATGAAGAGCTGAGGGACAGTGCCCAGGCCCAGAGTTCAAGCCCCACAACTGACCCCCCCCCCCAAAAAAAAAAAAGCTGGAAATGGCACTGTGGCTCAAGTAGTAGAGTGCTAGCCCTGAGCAAAAATCAGAGACAGCACCTAGGCCCTAAACCCCAGGACCAGCAAAAAAAAAAATTTTTAAGACAATGTGGCAATCAACACCTTTCATAGTTACAAGATTACAACCCTTTTGATTTAATAGTTTTGTAAACTGGGCAGATCGATACACTTGCACTTTAAAAAAGTAATCTGAGCAACAGTTTTTTTATTGCAACACTTTATAATCCCTCAGGCTTGGAAACAAGTATACAACAATACAAGATTGCCTAATAATGTCTTGCAGTGTTACACTGAAATAGGTTACCTAGCTAGGGGCTGGTGACTCAAACTTGTAATCCTAGCTACTCCAGAGGCTGAGATCTGAGGATCACGGTTCAAAATCATCCTGAGTTTTCTGGTGGTTTATTGGAGTTAACAGTCTCATGGACTTTCCTGCCCCGGCTGGCTTTGAACCATGATCCTCAGATCTCAGCCTCCTGAGTAGCTAGGAAAACAGGCGTGAGCCACCAACACTAGGCCAGAAGAAACATTTACCTCCAATAAACAATTCAGGAAAAGCCAGAAGTGGCGCTGTGGCTCAAGGGGTAGAGTGCTAGCCTTGAGCACAACGAGGCTCAGGGAAAGTGCCCAGGTCCTAAGTTCAAGCCCCAGGACCAGGAAAAAAAAAAAAAAAAAGGTGAGTTATCCATTTTTTTTTTTTTTTTTTTGGTCCTGGGGCTTGAACTCTGGGCTTGGACACTGTCCTTCAACTCTTCAGCTCAAGGCGAGCGCTCTACCACTTGAGCTACAGTGCCACTTCTGGTTTTCTGGTTGTTTATTGGAGATAAGTATTTCATGGATTTTCCTGCCTGGGCTGGCTTTGAACCATGAGCCTCAGATCTCAGCCTCCTGAGTAGCTAGGATTACAGGCATGAGCCACTGGTGCCTGGCTGAATTATCCATTTTTTTATGGATAGTACCCAAAGCTCTGGCCTTGGGCTCAAACCTCCTTATCCCATCCTAACTGGATCTTCACCTCAGCCTGCCCTCTGGTCCTTCAAGTCCAGCTTGCTGGCCCTTCCCCTTGCTCAGACTCTTCCCTGGCTCTCAGTGGGCACACTTGGACAAAGTCCAGCCCCTCAGTCCCCTGGGGCCCTGAGGACCTCCTGTCTCCTCTTCTCTGTCATCCCCTGACTACACAATCTCTCCCAAATCCGCTCAGTTCTGCTGCTAGTTCCCTGGCTTGCTGACCGAAATCCTCAAATGCCGGAGCCCTTCTCCCCCTCTTCTCTTTTTCTTTTTGGTTCCAGTCGTGGGGCCTGAATTCTGGGCCTGGGCGCTGTCCCTCAGCTCTTCAGCTCAAGGCTAGCACTCTACCACTTGAGCCACAGCGCCACTTCCGGCTTTTTTCTTTTTGCTTATGTGGTGCTGAGGAATGGAACCCAGGGCATCAGGCATGCAAGGCAAGCGCTCTACCACTGAGCCACCTTCCCAGCCCTCTCTTTTTCTTTTCAGTTTTCCGGGACTAGAGATGGAACCCAGGGCCTCTCACATGCTACAAGTGGCTTTACCACTTGGGTCGCATTCTCAGCTCTCCTGCTCTTAGTTTGTTTTTCCGACAGGGCCTTGTGCTTTTGCCAAGGCCAGCCTGAGACCCAATCCTCCTCCTACCTCTCTGCCTCCTGAGAAGCTAGGATGGATGCCATTTCCCACCATATTGGGCTTAATCTTTGACCTGGGATTTCACTCACTAGATAGGTTGGCCTCTGAGCTGGCTCTGTGTCCTGAGTTGCTGAGATTACGGTTGTGCGCCATGCCCAGACACACTTGTTTCCAAGCTAGACCAAGGTCTCTTCTGTTATCCCAACTACCTCATCAGGGCACAGAGCACATAGAGTTACAACAGAAGCACGAGTAAACATTGGCCCAGCTAGAGAGCATCACCCGCATTACCCAGCATAGCACCTGGAGCAGGGGAAGATCATCTTGGAAGCCCATGATAAACACACAGAAAGGTGACACAGGGAAAAACACAGTTGAGGGACAAACCCAGCAAGAGATAGATAAAGGAGGAGATGCATATAGAGACAGGGGTCAGGGGTCAGCTACCTGCAGAGAATAGTGGAGGGCAGAGCAGGCAGGATGCAGCAGAAGGTTCTGGAAGGGCTGGATGCGAGGCTGGCTCCAGCCTTGGTCTCCACTCCACTCCACCATCAGCATGTGGTCAGTGAACGTCTTCCCAAAGGCCAGCGGCTCGCTGGGGCTGGGCTTCTTCTGCGGCTCCTCCGTCCTGAGCACCTGCAGGTCTGCAGCCTGAGAAAACACAGGGAACCCCTGAGTCCTGGAAGCTGGCTACACTTGGAAAACTACAACTCCCAGGAGCCTGCAGGAGCGTGGAACCAAAGAGGCCTTTGGGAAATCCACTGACAATGTTTTCCCACCCACCTTTGCATCTGGGCAGCAGAGGTTTGAAGATGCCCCAATCCAACTGCCAACCCTAATTTCCAGGGGTCCAGGCCCAGCCCTCCACCTTCCTTTTACCTTAAAGTTGGAGGAGGCATATCTGCTTGCACCACAAAGAAGCCTTGGGACAGGAAGAAATTTCCGGGCCCAGACCTGGTGTGGGGAGAGAAATGCCAAGGGTTATGACCCCATTGGGGCCAGCTGGGCTCCAGCCAGCCCGTGGCTGCACCTCGTGGTAGTGTGGTCCCGTGGGCTTTGGTGCACTCCCCGTGTGCTCCAGACTGGGCATCTGGCCCTGGCAGGGTGCCTGTCACTCCTCCCCTCCTCCCCCCCACTCCTGTCCCAGGAGAAGCATTCCTAGAGAGAGCTGAGTCAGCCCCAGGCTGCCCTCCCTCCACACGGGGGCAAAGTCGCACACAAGCGCCTCCCACCCCCACCTGGGGAACTTTGCCCCAGCCTGAGAAGAGCTCAGACCAGAAGGCCACGAGGGAAGGCAGGAGGTAAGAGAAGGGCTCTACGGGCTGATTTGGGGGGGGGGGGGGGTTACCCAAGTCTCAACAGCTGTTAAGAAAATGGGAGATGTAAGGAGCATGGGCCCCCACCCAGCTGTAAGCCCCCAACATCTATTCTCTCAAACCCAGGGCTCCAAATCCCGGCCTCCTCCCTCAGACGCAGGTGTATCTACACCCCACTCCAGCTCCCTGAGGCCCAGGGGTTCAGACCTCTCTCAGATCCAGAGGTCTAGATTGAACCTTCTTCCATCAGACTTAAGCCCTAGCCTCTTCCCTCAGATCACAGGATATAGGCCGCAGCCTCTTCCCTTAGTCCCAGTAGTCTAGGTGGCCTTTAACCTCAGGATATCTGTCCCTCCAGCCCCATGGGAAGGTGGCTGAGCTGTGAGGTGGAGGGACAGGGGTGGCCTGGCCGCTCCTGCCGGTCACCTGAGAGAGCTGACTGGGTCCCCGGAGTAGGGGAACCGCAGAGGCTGCTGGTCCATAGGTGAGTGACAGGGAAGTGCGTTGGGGTGCTGGAGTTTCATAAACTGTGAGGATTTCATGGCGTGCTGCCTGAGGGCCTCTGGGGAAATCAATGCTGGCACTCAACATGGTTATAAGGAGCTTGTCCAGCCTGGCAGCCATGTTTCTGCACTGGAGGGGACAGCACCTTGTGCCAAGCAAGAAGGCGGGAGGTGGCTTGAAGAAGAGCAGCTGAGGGTGGGGGAGGGCAGAGAATAAATCAATGAATAAACCAGAGACTGGGTCATGGACCAAGAAAAGAGACAGAAATGGACGGCGCCAGTGGCTCATGCCTGTAATCCTAGGTATTCAGGAGGCTGAGATCTGAGGATCATGGTTCAAAGCCAGCCTGGGCAGGAAAGTCCGTGAAATTCTTATCTCCAATTATGCACCAGAAAACCAGAAGTGGTGCTATGACTCAAGTGGTAGAGAGCTTGCCTTGAGTACTTGAGTACAAAGAGGCTCAGAGACAGCGCCCAGGCAGAGTTCGAATCTTACAACCAAGGGGAGAGAGAGAGAAAGAGAGAGAGAGAAGGAAGAAGAGAGAGAGAAGGGAGGGAGGGAGAGAGAGAGGAGAGAGAGAGGAGGGAGAGGGAGGGAGAGAGGGGGAGAGAGTGAGAGAGAGAGAGAACAGGATAAAGCTAGAAAGCTAGGACAGAAAAAGGGAGAGAAATAGACAGAGACTAACCAGTCCTCAGAGATGGAACTTGGGGTGGGAGATTAGAGAACGAGGAGGTAAGTTGTCCTAACTAATGGTTAGAAAGAGGCATCTGGGGACTGGGAAGGTGGCTCAGTGGTAGAGTGCTTGCCTTGCGAGCATGAGGCTCTGGGTTTGATTCCTCAGTACCACTTAGACAGAAAAAGCCAGAAGTGGTGCTGTGGCTCAAGTGGTAGAGTACTAGCCTTGATCTGAAGAGCTCAGGGACAGCGCCCAGGCCCTGAGTTCAAGCCCCACAACTGGCAATAAAGAAAGAAAGAAAAGAAAAAAGAAAAGACAAGACAGAGGAGAGACAGAAAAACACCACATCCAGTGGGCGCCGGTGGCTCATACCTGTAATCCTAGCTACTCAGGAGGCTGAGATCTGAGGATCGCAGTTCAAAGCCAGCCTGGGCAGGAAAGTCTGTGAGACTCTTATTTCCAATAAACCACTAGAAAACCGGAAGTGGCGCTGTGGCTCAAGCAGTAGAGCGCTTGCCTTGAACTGAAGAGCGCAGGGACAGCACCCAAGCCCAGAGTTCAAGCCCCATGACCGACAAAAAAAACAAAACAAAACAAAAAAAACCCCATCACATCCATAGGGAAAAAGAGAAGTTGTTGGGCACAGCATACAGAGTCTAAGTCTCACATTGGCCACAGAGTCCTGATAACAATAGAAAAGGCTACTTTCACCCTCCTGGCGGACATTTCTCTAAGACCTGGGGTCCCCTGTAGGCTCAAGAGAACAGCCATCTCACACTCCAGTCTTCCTAAGGAGATGCCTGGCTGGCAGGTGGGTTATTAAGATGAAAGGTGAGGGGCTGGGAAGGTGGCTCATTGGTGGAGTTCTTGCCTTGTGTGCATGAAGCCCTGGGTTTGATTCCTCAGTACCACATAAGCAGAAAAAGGCGGAAGTGGCGCTATGGCTCGAGTGGTAGAGTGCTAGCCTTAAGCAAAAGAAGCTCAGGGACAGTGCCTAGGCCCTGAGTTCAATCCCCAGGACTGGCAAAAAAAAAAAGCTGGGGTGGGGGTGGTGGTGAAGGACTAAAGTTATTTAAATGATGTAGAGGAGGAGACTGAACAGGAGGGGGCGCTGTGACAAGTACAGCCTAGGATTGCTGTGCCTAACACAGTCCAAGAATGCCACCATCAAGCCAGGCACCAATGGCGTACATCTCTCATCCTAGCTACGCAGGAGGCTGAGATTTGAGGATGAGGTTTGGTTCAGAAGGAAGGCTGAGATTTGGTTCAAATCGAACCTGAACAGGAAAGTCCATGAGACTCTTAAATCTTCAATTAACCAGCAAAAAGCCAGAAGTGAGATTGGGGCTCAAATGGTAGAATGCCAGCCTTGAGCACAAAAGCTCAGGATCGGTGTTCAGGCCCTGAGTCCAAGCCCCAGGACTGACGATTAAAAAAGAAAGAAAAAAGAATGGCACTGTGGAAAACCACGAGTGTCTCTGTGGAAGTTACCTGTCCTCACATCACAGCTTAGGTAGGTCCCCAGCCCAGTCCAAATCGCGTCACAGCCAATTGTCCCAGTGACCTAGGAGTGACTCAGTCACACATACAATTGTCTCCTTTGTATTGCAGAACTATGTCCATCACAGACCTATGGCAGTCCAAGACTTTGCACATTATTACTCCATATTGGTCCCTGCAATCAATCAGAACTGTTCACATAACGCTAAGTCTTGTCTCACCGCTGCTCAAGACTGTCCAGGCCCTCCACTTTCTGTAATCTAGATCGTCTCTGTCTACTCCCCGAGTTTCCTCTTTCAGATCCAATAACTAACCTCAGGTCCACCTAGCCAAGTCCCTGCAAGGCTACGTAGGTCCCTATCAAACCCAGGAGCCCAGTGCTGGGCCCACTCTAACTCAAGACTCCTTCCCAGACTATTGCAAGGGGGAAATGTCTTTCTCAGGACCGCCCTCTACAAGCTCAGGTCTGTCACCACCAATATCCCAGTGCCTCAGTTTCTACCTAGTCCAACACCCATCCTCGGCTCACATAGGGTAAAAACTAAGAGTCTGCTGTGCTATTCTTTGTCAGCCTTCGATAAGAAACTCAAATAAAACATTTTTTTAAAGTCAAGAACAAAGAGAACAGGAAACAGTTTGCTCAAGGTTATATGTGGCACCTGTCAAGACTGTAACCACCCAAAGATTTCTTTTTTCGCTTAGAAACTTTTTTTTTTTTTCTGGAAAGATCCTGAGCTGCGGGATGCTGGGCTGTTGGAGCTCTTATCGGTAAGCACAGACCGTGCCGGTCTCGCTTGGAGATCCTCCCTCCCTAACAGAGAGAAGCTGCCTCCATTCCTCACCCAGACGCGGCCACTTGGGGAAGACCCCGGGTCTGTCTCGCTCTGGCTTTAGTTCCAGTGGGGCCTTGGGTCCAATTCCGACTGGCCTTCATCCCATTCCAACCCCGACACATCAGGGGTTCCCCCTTTCCCCAGCTCCTTCAGGGGGGTGACTGGTCAGCACGCGCCTAAACCTCAGCCTCCGCACCCCAACCCTCTCTCATAACAGCCTCCCTCGTGTTTCTCCCTTCTCCCTCTCCGGCCAGGGCACCCCCTGCCCACCAGCTGCCTCCTGCACCCCGTTTGCGCCCACCCGCTCCCCGAGTTCCTGAAAGCCTGCTGGTGCTGCTTTCTTTCCAGGGCGCCCCGCACGGGAACCCCAGGACCGGGAGGGAAGCCGCGCCAGGCCGGAAGGGCTCCGCGCCAGGGGTCCTCCCGGAAGTGCACCTCTCCCCGGGGTCCCCCCAGCCCTGCAGCGCGAGGCTGCGAACCCACCTGCCCCAGTGCGGCTGCGGCCATGACGGGTGCGCCGAGTAACAGTGCCGGCCGGGGGCGCGGCATGGGGGGGGGGGAAAAAGAGGTTCCGGCCCCGCCCCGCCCAGGCCCCGCCCCACATCACAACACGCCCCCTGCGCCGCGTCAATCCCGTCTGTCGCCCTCTCACGCCCCTCCCTCCCTTCCCCACCCAGCAAAATGGCTGCTCCCCCCACCCCACCCCAGGAATCCAATTCCAGCTGGCAACCCCCACCCCCACCCCCGACGTCTCCCGCGGGAGGGGGGGGGGTCTTGTGCAGAGCGCATGCGCCTTAGAGGCTAGCCCTGAAATACAATCCTCCCTCCCTCCCTCCTCCCGCAGGATCCTTGCAGAGGGTTTTTGTTTGCATTTGTGTGCCAGTCCTTGATTTAAAATTTTATTTAATTTTTTTTATGAACTTAGGGCCTGGGCGCTGTCCCTGAGCTTTTTTTCACTCAAAGCTGGTGCTCTACCACGTGAGCCAGAGCTCCACTTCAGGCTTTTTGGTGAGTCACTGGAGATTAGAGTCTCATGGACTTTCCAGCTCAGGCTAGTTTTGAACCGTGATCCTCAGATCTCAGCCTCCTGAGTAGCCAAGATGACCGGTGTGAGCCATAGGTGCCCGACTTGCAGAAGGTTTTGTATAAATGCATTTTCCCCACCCCACGGTGGTGGAGGTCAGAGGAGATAGAGGCAAGGATCGGAAAGCTCTGGTCCTCAGCCATCCTCCCTCCACAAAAAAAGGAAATAAGGAAAAGCTCTATGGAGTCAGTGCTGCATAAACAAACAGAAGTAGTAGAAAAGCCTCCCAGGGGCCAGGTGAGTCGGAGTAAAGGAGGAGCTTCTCTGCAGCCAGGAGATAGTTGGATAATTGAGTTTGTTTTGTTTGTTTTTACTAACAAGAAGATCTCTGTAGATGGGTGTGCAGGTGCACACCTCACTCTGGAGGCTGGAGCAAAAGGATTGGAGGTTTCAGACCAGCGAGGAGTCTGAACTACAAATTGACTAAAAAATAAAGGTACACAGTAGGTGTTGTTTTTTTTAGAGCTAATCACACAAGGATTCATCATCCTCTGTTCCATTCTCTTTAATCAGTAAAGCCGGAAGGTTTTCTTTGTGGGGGGGGGGGAGTGTCAGTAGTGGGGCTCGAACTCTGGGCCTGGGAGCTGTCCTGAGCTCTTCAGCTCAAGGCGAGCGCTCTACCACTTGAGCCACGGCACCACTCCCGGTTTTCAGGTGGTTCATAGGAGTCTCACGGACTTTCCTCCTGCCCGGGCTGGCTCTGAACCGCGATCCTCAGATCTCAGTCTCCTGAGTGGCTAGGATGACAGGTGTGAGCCACCGGTGCCCGGCTGGAGGATCATTCCTGTAGTACCAGCACTCAGGAGGCGAAAAGACTGCCGATTTGGAGGCCAGCCTGGGCTCCAAACAAATAAACAAACACACCAGCTACTGACCACAGTAGCCACACCAGGACTCGCTCCCATCAGGAGTCCGGCTTCCTTCCCTCCTCCCCCGCCTCCTCCCGCTCCTCCCTCCAGCAGCGGTGGGGGCGGATCCCAGGGGCTCCGCCCCCGCCGGGGCCAATCAGCGGCTGCCGCACACACCCCCGCTGCGACCAATCAGCTGCGGGCCCTGCGGCCCCACCCCACCCCCTCTCGCTGCAGGCCTGCAGTGGAGCGGGAGCCGAGCCCCACTTGGGGAAATCCGGGGTCCGCCACGCCCCTGCCCGGGTGTTCCCCTCGCCTGAGCCCCACCCCTTCTCCCCTTCTCCCTTGGACTCAGATGACTCCACACCCCACGCTGCCCCGCTCTCCTGGGCACATGTTGTGCCAGTCCTATCTCCTTTGTGCCATTCTTGCTTCACTGGCAAGGAAAGCCAAACGCTCCCCCTCCCCAAGGACCATTATGTGCCATTAGCACTTCATTTACTCTCTCCTGTGGGCCTTTTAATTAGGGCCCAGGTGCTGCTCCATCGAAGGCAGGTGTTAGCAACCTGGGGACAGGCGGGAAGGCCTGCAGGCAGAGGGATGGAATTCTGGGGTGGCCAGGCTTGTATAAACAAGGAAATAAAAGACATCCAGACTACAAATTGATTTTGTTTGTTTTGTGGGCTGGTCCCAAGGCTTGAACTCTGGGCCTGGAAGCTCTGGCTATCGGTCTACCACTTGAGCCAAAGCTCCACCTCCAGGTGTGTGTCTAATTGGAGATAAGAGTCTGAAGGACTTCTGCCTAGGCTGCCTTCAAGTCACAATCCTCAGATCTCAGCTTCCTGAATAGTTAAGATGACAGGCGTGAGCCACCGACACCTGGCTTCTGTTTGCTTTTTAACAAGGTCTCACGGTATAGCCCAGGTTGACCTGTGATTCAAGGTTCTCTTGCGGTGGCTTCCGCACTGTTAGGATTACAGTGTGACCTACATGCCTGACTTGCAAATTGCCTGCAGGGTGATCTGGTACAGAATGCGTTGGGGCTGGCTGTGGGAGGCAGGTGGTACAGGTTGGAGTTTGGGTTGGGATAGGTGAAGCAGGGAGAGGTCTAAGTAAGTGGCAATGTGGGAGATGAGAAAGGGAGGATGGGGTCAGCCACAGGGGTTCTGTGGCTGGCTTTCCACCCATACCCCAGCTCTGCCCCACCAGTCACCAGGAGCTCCACGCCTGTGCAGAAGCTGGCTTCAGAGGCCAGAAACACAGCTGCAGCCCCCACCTCAGCAGGCTGGCCCATGCGGCCCAGGGGCTGGAGAGAGAAGGGAAGAAATAGTCAAGAGAATTACCCCAAAGCTGGGCATTGTCTCACATGCCTGTCATACTGGCTACTGACCAAGGAGAGGCAGGACAATCTAGAGCTTACAGATCAGCTAAGACACAGTTACATTGTATCTTAAGGCCAAAATATAATACAAACAAAAGGGCTGGTGTTTGGTGGCTCTTTTTTTTTTAGGGGCGGGGGTCCGGTTGTGGGCCTGAACTCTGGGCCTAGGCACTGTCCCTCAGCTCTTCAGCTCAAGGCTAGCGCTCTACCACTTGAGCTACAGCGCCACTTCCAGCTTTTTTCTTTTTGCTTATGTGGTGCTGAGGAATCGAACCCAGGGCCTCATGTATGCAAGGCAAGCGCTCTACCAGTGAGCCACCTTCCCAGCCCCGTGTGGTGGCTCTTGTGGTAGCACTTTTGCTTAGCAAGGTGGAGGCCTCAGGTCCAATTGCCAGTAAGAGACACAGAGACAAAGACAGAAAGAAGGAAGGAAAGAAGGAAAGAAAAGCCAGGTACTGGTGGCTCATGTCGGTGATCCTAGCTATTCAGGAGGCTGAGATCTGAGGATCATGGTTCGAGGCCAGCCCAAGTAGGAAAATCCAAGACTCTTATTTCCACTGAACTATTCAGAAAAAGCCAGAAGTGGTGCTATGGTTCAAGTGGTAGAATACTAGCCTTGAGCAAGACAGAGCCCAGGCCCAGGGTTCAAGCCCTAGGACTGGGAAAGAAGGAAGGAAGGAAGGAAGGAAGGAGGAAAAGGAAGAAAGGAAGGAAGGAAGGAAAGAAGGCAGAAAGAAAGAAAGAAAGAGAAAGGAAGGAAGGAAGAAGAGCCCCAGCTTGACCATAACACCCCCAAACCTTGCTCCACTCTACCCAGCCCTGGCCCACACTCCTACTTGGGCCATGGTGCCCTCTCGGATTGTTGCCCCAGGGTCTGGGGTTGATGCTGCCAGCTCCTCCCAAAGTGGGGTCCAGATGTTTCCTGGAGAAATACTAGGGTGAAAGGAGAGGGGCTCAGAGAGGTCTGCCCCCACTGAATCCCTCTTGGGCTCACTATCAAGCTTCCCTGCTCCCCCAGGGAACTCGCCGCCTAGCTAGAGCAACTCACCAGTTGACACGGACGCCATATTGGCTCTCATCCAAGGCCAAGGCTTTGGTCATGGCGGTTACAGCTCCCTGGAGAGAAAACAGCCAGGCCCCTCCCATCCTCACCTGCCAGCCAGCAGGCACCAGCGGGGCATCCAGATGACCCTGTCCTGCCCCGGCCTAGGCCTTGGTCAGCTGTTCCAGGCTGTCTCTAGGGAACAACTTAGCACAACGTGCTCTTGTCACTGGGCTACGACAGATTTGGCCTGAGGCTGAATCAGAGAACTGGGGGTGGAACTCTCCCAGGCTGGAGTTCAAGTCTAGGCTGAGCTTCCCCCTAGCCCCCCCCCCCCCCCAGGAGGGACAGGAGCCCAGGCTGGCCTACCTTGGTGGCCACATAAGGAACCGCCTGAGACTGACCAATGGCCCCAACCAAGCTGGAGATGTTGATGATGTTACCCTGGCTCTGCCGCAGGTGAGGGAGGGCAAGCTGGGGACAGTGGGGGAGAAAATGGGGGAAGGGGGTCAGCCCCCAGGTGGGGGAGGCAGAGCTGGGAGGCCAGGGCATGATGCACCCACAAACATGCTGTCCTCTGGGGCCACGCTGCCCCCCTCCTCTTGTTCCTTGTTGTTAGGGACAACATCCAGCACTTTTCTTTGTTGCCAGTCTCTGGGTCTCAGTCCTTAGGGAGTCTGTCCTTGTGTGAACTAGGGGTGTCTCTCTTATTACCATTCCCCTGTCCCTCTCTATTTCTTTATTTTTTTGGGGGGGGGGTCCGGTCGTGGGCCTGGGCGCTGTCCCTCAGCTCTTTAGCTCAAGGCTAACACTCTACCACTTGAGCCACAGCGCCACTTCCGGCTTTTTTCTTATGTGGTGCTGAGGAATCGAACCCAGGGCCTCAAGCGTGCAAGGCAAGTGCTCTACCACTGACTGAGCCACCTTCCCAGCCCCTCCCTCTCTATTTCTTTGGGTATCTCTCTTCCTCTTTCTGGATCACTGTCCCTTGTTCTGTCTCTTCCTTTCTTTCTTTCTTTCATTTTCCTTTCTTTCATTCTTCCTTCCTTCCTTTCTTTTGGTCAGATGTGGGGCTTGAACTCTGGGCCTGGGCGCTGTCCCTCAGCTCTTCAGCTCAAGGCTAGCGCTCTACCACTTGAGCCACAGCGCCACTTCCGGCTTTTTTCTTTTTGCTTATGTGGTGCTGAGGAATCGAACCCAGGGCCTCAGGCATGTAAGGCAAGCGCTCTACCACTGAGCCACCTTCCCAGCCCTGTTGGCTGTTATTCTAACTCCAAGCCACATTGAGCCAGAAACGTTCGAGATGTAGAGGATTTCCTGAAATGCACCCCATTTCCCAGCTTCTCCAGGGCAGTTCCCCTGAGGCCCTTGTCCTACCTAGGGCTGGGGCTGTGATGTGGGGGTGTATTCTTTTACCTCATCTGATTTGGGATAACCCAAATCCTTCCCTTCCTTGGATGGCTTGCCTTAGGCTCCTGAGCTAGCTGTCCCAGTACTGTTCTGGGCCCCAGCAGGGTGGCTGTAGAGATTTTTTGTTGTTGTTGTTGTTGGTTGTGGGGCTTGAACTCTGGGCCTGGGCGCTGTCCCTCAGCTCTTCAGCTCAAGGCGAGCGTTCTACCACTTGAGCTACAGTGCCACTTCCGGTTTTCTGGTGGTTTATTGGAGATAGGAGTCTCACGGTCTCTCCTGCCCAGGCTGGCTTTGAACCGCGATCCTCAGATCTCAGCCTCCTGAGTAGCTAGGATTACAGGCATGAGCCACCAGCGCCCGGCGGCTGTGGAGATTTAAAGGGCTAACCCTCCACCTCCACCACTGTCCCTGGTTTTCCAGCTGGGTGGGCTTCCAGGATGATGGGAATGAATCAGGAAGACAAGGTGCAGGGATTCCAGAGGAGCAGAGAGCTCCAGTGCCAACACGGCCAGTATGGCCCACTCATGCTCCAGTTATGTTAGCCATCAAGACCACTCCTTGCTGGAGGAAACCCTCATTTGTCTGTGGCTTTTGGCCCAGTCAGATGTCAGTGACCCTCATCTGCTCATTGTCCTGAAGATTAAATGAGCTAATAGATTTATAAACAGCTGAGAATGGGACCAGATATGTAGCAGGTTCCCTCCCTCCTACCTTCCTTCCTCCCTTCCTTCCTCCCTTCCTTCCTTCCTTCCTTCCTTCCTTCCTTCTTTCCTTCCTTCCTTCCTTCTTTCCTTCCTCCCTTCCTTCCTTCTTCCTTCCTTCCTTCCTCCCTTCCTTCCTTCCCTCCCTCCTTCCCCAGGGCACACTCTTTCTTTTTCCTTTTTTTTTGTTGGACGTGGGGCTTGAACTCTGGGCACTGTTCCTGTGCTCTTCAATTCAAGGCGAGTGCTCTACCTCTTGAGCCTCAGTGCCATTTCCAATTTTCTGGTGGTTTATTGGAGATAAGAGTCTCATAGACTTTCCTGCCTGGGCTGGCTTTGAACCATTATCCTCAGATCTCAGCCTCCTGAGTAGCCAGGGTTACAAGCATAAGCCACTAGCACCTGGCTTTGCACACTCTTTCTTATACCTGACATCCTATGCCCTACTTTTACGCTCTCCTCCCTCCCACTCAGAGTTCAACAGGAACCTCACCTCTTCCCTCCCACTTTTGATTTTCCCAATGTGAACTTGGAGATCTTAAGATATGTTGGGTCTGATTGAAAAAAACAGCAACAGAAAACCCTGTGTCAGGTATGGCAGAAGGGCTGCAGGGAGGTGCACCTTTGTCTCCTTCCATCCCCAGCACAATGCTGTGGGCCGCCAACCCACACCAGACCATTTCACAGGTGTGAAAATGGACGCACAGGCAAGGTTAGTGACTTGTACAGTGCTGCAAGTAAGAAGTGGCAGAGATGGGCTGGGAAGGTGGCTCAGTGGCAGAGCGCTTGCCTTGCATGCATGAGGCCCTGGGTTTGATTCCTCAGCACCACATAAGCAAAAAGAAAAAAAAAGCCGGAAGTGGTGCTGTGGCTCAAGTGGTAGAGCACTACCCTTGAGCTGAAGAGCTGAGGGACAGTGCCCAGGCCCAGAGTTCAGGCCCCAGGACAGGACCCCCCCACAAAAAAAAAGAAGAAGAAGAAGTGGCAGAGAACTGAGGCGGATGGGACATTTCTACTCAGGCTGTTTTTGAACCAGGATCCTCAGATCTCAGCCTCCCAAGCAGCTAGAAATACAGGCATGAGCTACCAATGCCTGACTAGAAACAAGGGCCTTGTGCCAATTCAATATACAATTCTTCCTGCCTTCCTGTATACACTCTGAGTGCCACAGAGTAAACCATTTCAGAAAATATGGGGCTGTGGCTTGAATGGGCATGGATTAAGTAGGTGTGTAACTCCAGTAGTAGAATGTCTGCCTAGAACTGAGTTCAAATCTCAGTACCACCAAAAGGATTAAAAAAAAAAAAAAAAGCCAGGTGCTGGTGGCTCACACCTGTAATCCCAGCTACTCAAGAGACTGAGATGTTAGAACCAAGGTTCAAAGTCAGTCCAGGCAGGTAAGTTCATGAGACTCTTAGCTCCAATTAATCAACAAAAAGCCAGGAGGGGAGCTGTGGCTCAAGTGGTAGAGTGCTGACCTTGAGCAAAAAAAGCTCAAAGACAGTACCACAGCTCTGAGTTCAAGCTGCAGGACTTGCACACACATCCAAAAAAATAAATAAAAATAAAAATAGCTATCCACTGCCTGCCACTGACTTCCTGGATAGCTGAGACCCACCCCAGCCTTCTGTCATCTCTACACCAGTTTGGAAGGTGTTGGAAGAACCTAAGAAAGGTCATGTCCTACAGTTACTCAGTCAGATCGTCCTGGATGGAGGCGGTTGCATTCTGTCTACAAAAACAGTCCTGGGGCAGGGAGTGTGGCTTAGTGATAAAGTGCTTGCCTAGCATGCATGAATCCCTGGATTCGATTCCTCAGTACCACATACACAGAAAAAGCTGGAAGTGGTACTGTGGCTCAAGTGGTAGAGTGCTAGCCTTGACCAAAAGAAGCTTAGACAGCTGGCTGCTGGTGGCTCACACCTGTAATCCTAGCTACTCAGGAGGCTGAGATCTGAAGATCATAGTTCAAAGTCAATCTGGGCAGGAACATCCGTGAGGCTCTTATCTCCAATGAACCACCAGAAAACCAGAAGTGGCACTGTGGCTCAGGTGGTAGAACGCTAGTCTTGAGCTGAAGAGCTGAGGGACAGCGCCCAGGCCTAGAGTTCAGGCCCCACGACCGGACCCAAAAAAAAAGAAAAAAAAACAAAAACAGAACAGGGAGAAAAACAAACACAAGCACAAACATTCTGCTTTTAGACAAAGAAGGCTCCAGCCCTCACCTTGGCCAATGTGTAAGCAGCTAACAGGTTCAGCTCCAACAGCTGCCTGAAGCCCTGGGCTGAAGTCTCCTCAGGCCACTGAGGGGGTGGATCTAAGGGGAGACAGGACAGAGGAGAGGGCTGTGGGCAGGAAGGGAGAGGGACATGTCAAGGAAGGGTATTAAGTAGCTCCTAATGAAAGACTAGGGTTCCATTCTCAGCCCTGCCACTTCCCATATAGTGACTCTGGCGTAAGTCATTTCTCCGTGCTTCCTTTTCTTTCTCAACTTGAAATATGAGATAACATCTCATCTTGGGCTTTGAATTTTTTTTTTTTTTTTGCCAGCCTGGGGCTTGAACTCAGAGCCTGGGCACTGTCCCTAATCTTTTTTGCTCAAGGCTAGTGCTCTATCACTTGAGCCACAGTAACACCTCCAGGCCTTTTCTGTTTATGTGGTACTGAGGATTTGAACCCAGGGCTTCATGCATACTAGGCAAGCACTCTACCACTAAACCACATTCCCAACCTCTGAATTTTTTTTTTTTTTGAGATAAGAGTCTGATAGTGCTCACACCTGTCATCCTAGCTACTCAGGAGGCTGAGATCTGAGGATCCAATTCGGAGCCAGCCCAGGCAGGAAAGTCCATGAGACTCTTATCTCCAATAAACCACCAGAAAACCAGAAATGGCACTGTAGCTCAAGTGATAAAGCACTTGCCTTGAGCTGAAGAGCTGAGGGACAGGCCAGGCCCAGAGTTCAAGCCCCATGATGGACAAGAATCTGATAATAGCCCAGGCTAGCCTTGAACACATGATCCTCCTGCCTCAGCCTTCTGAATGCTGGAATTAAAGGTGTGCATCACTCACCATGCCTGGTTTAGGCTTCTAAATTTCAAGACAATATTTGTACCTGGGGGTGGGGGGAGGCAGAGGGGGGAGTAGGGGGTTGGGGGTGGGAGATGAGAAGGGATGGGAAGGGGAAACAAAGGAGGAGGCAACAATGCTTGATAAGAAATGTACTCATTATCTTGTCCATGTAATTGTAACCCCTATATACGGTATTTTCACAATTAAAAAATATATATTTGTCCCTGACACTTAGTAAGGACTGTGAATGTGTTTGTTAAGTAAACAGATTGGGAGGGAGAAGTGAGAGAGGAACAAAAAGATCAGCAATAAGAAGAGAGAGCTGGCCAGGTGCCGGTCGCTCATGCCTATAATCCTAGCTACTCAGGAGCTGAGATCTTAGGATGATAGTTTGAAGCCAGTCCAGGCAGAAAAGTCCCTGTGAGACTCTTATTCCCACTAAACTACTCAAAAAAGCCAGAAAGAAGTGGTGTTGTGGCTCAAGTAGTAGAGCACTAGCCTTGAACACAAAGAGGCTCAGGGACAGTACCCAGACCCTGAGTTCAAGCCCCAGGACCAAGGAAGAAGAGGAAGAAGGAGAAAGAAAGAAGAGGAAGGAGAAGGAGGAGGAGAGGAGGAGTAGGAGAGGAGGAGAAGGAGGAGGGCTGGCATGTGGCAGGTGGCAGTAGGTGGCTCCTGCTTGTGATCCCAGCATCGCAGGCCCATCCACCACCCCACATGCACAACTCACGGTAGCCAGCGTTGTTAACCACACAATCCAGGCGGCCGAATAGACGGATGGTATCAGCAATAAGGGTCTGAGGTGAGGAAAGAATCAACCTGTGAGGAGCTGGGGTGAGGGGCGTCTGCCTGAAGAAGAAGCAGAACCCCAAAGTAGGACAGAAAAAGAGAAACAGACCCAGGGAAAGGACACTGAGGAGGAGAAGGTACAACTGAGTCTGGAGAGAAAAGAGAGGTGCAGGGATACGTGTGCAAACTCCAGACAGAACTAAGCTAGAAAGTGCGAGTGTTCACTACAGATGGGGAGAGAACAGGGGCAGAACTTGTGCTCACCTCCACGTCTTCCTCCCGGGTCACATCACACGGGATGAAGACAGTTTCAGGAAGTTCCCGAACCAGGGCCTGGCTTCCTGACTCTGCAGGGAGAGATGAGCAGGGCCTGGACTGCCATGTCCAAAGGAAGAGGCTGAGGTCTAGACCCTGGGTCTGAGGGAGGAGAATTAGGGCCTGGACCCCTGAGTCTGAGTGAGGAGGCTGGGCCCAGACTCCTGGGTCTGAGGGAGGAGGCTGGGCCTGCACCCCTGGGTCTGATAGAGGAGGCTGGGTAGGTGTGAGGGAGGTGGTGTGGGGGTGAGGACAGTGGTCCCTGCCTCACTTACCATCTTTGTCACAGAATACCACCTGGGCCCCACTCTGGGCTGGAAGAGAAAGAGAACAGGTGTTTAACCCCTCCCCCTCCCCATTCCTCCTTCCCGGCCTCTGCTGCCCCCTCGTGGCCACCCACAGCAGAGCCGACCTCGGCCTCCACTCGTGACCTCAGTCTCATGATGGTCCCGGGACAAAGGGCAGAGCCTTCCCGCACCTCCCCCCTCCCCGGCCCAGCTCATCCAGGTCCCCGCTTGGATGGAGGGGGAGCGGTGCAGCCCACATCCATGGGGCTCGAGAAAACCCACCGCAAACACGCACGGAAATAAAGTCCCAAACCTGTCCTTCGTAGCTATAGCAACCATCAGAAAGAGGAGGCGCCCTGGGCCATCCCCGCAGCCCTTCCACCCCGGCTGAGGAGTCTCTGCCCCTTCCCCTGCTCTCCCCCTCCAACAGACCCCTTGCCCCCAAACTCACCAAAGGCCCGGACGATCCCCGCTCCGATGCCGCGGCCGCCCCCGGTCACCAGCACCACCTTCCCCGCATAGCGCCCTCCTGCAGCCATTCCACTCCGCCGAGACTCTCAGCCTCCCAAATCCGGTAGAGCTGGTTCCTAGAAGCCAGCCCTGGGGATGTTGCAAGGATGGCCAGAGACCTGGAAGGGGGGCCCCAGACCTTTCTTCTGAGATGCTCAGGGGTCGAAGTTCCAGTCTTCTTCAGATCCAAAGGTCCAGATCCCAGTCCTCATTCCTCAGACCCAGGGATCCAGACCCCAGCCTCTTCCCTCAGACCCGGGGGAGGGGGTGGTGCAGACCCCAGCCTCCTCCCTCAAATAAGAATTGCAGTTATCTATCCCTTCCTCTCTCAGATCCCACTTCAGGACCCTCCCTCCCTCCTTCGCTCTTTCCTCAGACCTGAGTCTTAATTCCCTCAGCACACCGACATCCAGACCTCCAGCGTTACCACCCAGGAGCACATCCCCAAACAAACAAAGTTACTGAGTAAAAGTTCAAAGTTTTAATCCAAATTTAGACAGCGGCGGGGAGGTGGGGAGGGAATCAATCTTTGACCACAGATACCACGCCCACTCGGACCACAGGTGGAGGCCGCGCATGCCTCCTTAGCACCCAGAGTGGTCCCACCGTTCAGACTGGCACCGCCGGGGCCACGCCCCCACGATCCGATTGGCCGCGGCGTTTGGGCCAGTCAGAAACTGGACTGTAGCAGAGTGACTCGGAGAGGCCACGCCCCCTCATCCTGCGTCAGGGGCGGGGCGTTCCCAGGGTCCCACGTGGATTCCCAGGGGGCGGGGCCTGTGCCCCTGCCACCACCGGGGCGTGGGAACCCCTTGGACCCTGAGTTGGCCACGGGAGAAGATGGTAGGGGCGAGGCCACCCTGGGCGTGGAATCTTCCGGGGGCCGAGGTGCCGGAGGGGGAAGGTCTCCCCTGGCCTCCGAATTTCCACCTGGAGTGGCTAAAAGAGAAGAAGAGCAAACTGAAGGACTCCGCCCCTAAGCATCCCGCCCCTCTCCCTTGAGATCCAGGCGCCGACTCCAGCTCTCCTCCCTCCCACCCTGGGACCCGTTCCATTCCTCTCTGAGACTCGGCTGCTGCTCACCTGGCCCCCTTCTCCTTCTCGCTAGGACCCGATCCCTGCCCTTACGTTCTCCCCAAAAGAATGGCTTGACAGCGCTCACCCCTGGACTCCAGCTTCCCCGTTGCCCAAAACCCAGTAGGATGACATCCCCCGTCGTCACCTGTCATGATTTTGTGCCACTGCGATGCCTCAGTGGCCAGGGCTTGGGAAAGGCTGAGAACTCGCTCCCGGTGACCGTCGGAGGTGGGCAAGTATGGTGTGGTGATCCTGGGACTAGAAAAAAGACAAAAGAAAAAGAGAGAGAGAGAGAGAGCGAAGGTGGGCTTCAGGGTTGGGAAGATTCTGTATAGCAAGGACCAAGCAGGTAAGCTCAGGCTTCTGGGAGTTGTAGTTCCTACCATGTGCCTTGTCTCTCAAAAGACTTTAAACCTAGGCCAGGTGCCTTATGGGATTTGTAGTCCCACTGCACACCACACCAATGACACAAGAATACTGGAAGGAAGGGGTAGGGTTTGATTTAAGCCATGAGAGTTCTGGGAACTTTAGTACGTAATCCTTGCTCCCAAGTGATTCTTGGTTTTGTTTCAGATGCTCTTCTTAGAGCCCAAGGAGCTCTAAAGGTTTTGCAACTTGAAATTTACTACTCAGGAGACTCTAATAGTAAGGCTAGCTGACACTTTTGCACATTAATCTCCCTACTCCCTTCCCCTACCCTCCAGTGCCTTACCTACTCCAGGACCCTGAGCTTCTGAGCCATTTTGCAGCTCCTACGATAGGCTGGAAAGGAATTGGGGCATTAGAATTCCTGACTTCATTTGGAGGATGAAGTAGAAGGCCTTCAGAGAGGAAATGAAAATTGCCCAAACACGCTGACGTGTAATTTCACTTTTGTTTCTGGAAATCAGCGCTAGTTCACAAATTTTACAACACACACACACACATACACACACCTACCATCAGGACCTGTCTACTGCCTATTAAAGTGGAGGTAGAATATCTTCAATGGCTTACATGTGGTAGGCTAGATCCTCAGCCTGGAACACCACTGAGAGGAGATTAATCATATATCCTATTGATCAACCCAATGATGGATTCATAGCATAACAGATCATTAAGAGGTGGGGTACAGTTGGAGGAAGATAGTCTGTGGGTGTTGTACCCCAGGAAAATTTATCTTGTCTCTGACTCCTTGCTCCATCTGCTTCCAGTATGCTCTACCACAACCCTCCTCCATGGTTTCCTTCCTTATCATAAGCCCAGAAACAAGGACCAAAACCCCTAAAGTCACAAGCCAAGAGTCTATCTTTCCTCCTATGTGGTATTTTTCTCAGGTATTTTGGCACAGCAACTGACAATTGACTACCATAAAATTCTTTTTTTTTGGGGGGGGGGGGTCCAGTCATGGGGCCTGAACTCTGAGCCTGGGCGCTGTCCCTCAGCTCTTCAGCTCAAAGCTAGCACACTACCACTTGAGCCACAGCGCCACTTCCGGCTTTTTTCTTTTTGCTTATGTGGTGCTGAGGAATCGAACCCAGGGCCTCAGGCATGCAAGGCAAGCACTCTACCACTGAGCCACCTTCCCAGCCCGACTACCATAAAATTCTGAGGAGCAACTATCCTGAGCTGTGGAAAATCCTCTGGTCTCAGGATCCCAGGACTCTCCTTGCTAAAATAATGTGGGGGAATTCCTTGCCCAGTATTCTGACCCCTCCGCCTTGCTTCCTTACAAAGCAATAAGTGAGAAGAAAAACTGGGCTTCCAATGAGACCTGCGAACTCTGTTCTGAAGAAAGACCTGGGGTTTTCTCACCCCCTTCTGACCACCCTCTGTTAGAGGAGCCAGGAAGCTGAGAAGGGCAAATTGGGTGAGGGGGTATGGATAAGGAAGTATGCTCATATCTCAGAAGGAGAAACTGAGGCTCAAAGTGGAAGTTCAGAGCCCTCTACCACCCCACTGCCCCACGACTGACCCCATTCCTCTCACCCTTTGTTCCATGTCAGGCTGGTGTCTGGCTGTGGACAGGGTCCTCCCTAGGGTGAGGAGGCTGGGAGAGGCAGGGCGTGGAAGAGGCCGGCCATGTTCCTGGTTTCTGCGCATGCGCTCCAGCTGCTCCCTTGCACTCATGCGGGGCCGGGCTACAGGGGCCTAGGAAGATAAAATGGTGGAGATTCAACCTGGGCCTCCTCTTGCTCTGTTTCCCCCAAAAGGAAGGAAGTACTCAGACTCTCTGGCCATAATGAGCTTCTGCTAGGAGTCAGAATTCCAGATTGCACATCACACAAAGAAAGAAAAACCTCTGAACTCATTCTGGTCAAAGAAATAATGGCTCAAGGGGTAGCCCGCCTACCTGGCAAGTGCAAAGTCATGAGTTCAAATCCTAGTATAGGATAATCTGGACATACACTTTAGTGGCAGAGCTCCTGGCTAGCACAGGCAAGGTCCTGGGATGATACGAAGGAGGCACAGAGAAGTTTACCAACCCACCTCAAGTCACACAGCTGACTTACCTTGGTTCCCAGCTGTGGGGAAGAAGGGCGGCGACACTCAGGGCTGGGTGCCCGGGAGATCCTTGGAGACTCAAGCCCTAGAAGGATGGAAGGGCTCTGTGAGGATGGGAGCCCCAGGAAACCCCACACGCACCCTACAGTTTGCTCACCTGTTGTGTGTGGACTTGCAAGAGTACTGTCACCTTGGTCACGTCCGGGGGGCCGCCCCCAGTCAGCCTCAGGGGACCGAGGCATGCTCACTCCTGCAGACTCAGGCAAGCTCTTCAGGGACACAAAGAAGGACTTGTGATCGTAATAATTGTTTTTGCAGTGCTCAGGGACTCAGACTCCTGAAGATTAATATTATAAACCCAGCCGGGCACCAGTGGCTCATGTCTGTAATCCTAGCCAACTCAGGAGGGTGAAATTTGAGAATCGTGGCTTAAAGCCAGCCCGAGCAAGAAAAGTCATTGAGACTTATCTCCAATGAACCAGCGAAAACCTGAAAGTGGAGCGGTGGCTCACCTGGTAAAGCATTACCCTTGAGCACAAAAGCTAAGGGGACAGCACCTAGGCCCTGAGTTCAAGCCAGGACTGGCACTAAAAAATAAATAAATAAAATTATAAACCCGTTGAGCATTAATGGATCATACTTAGCTACTAAAGAAGCTGAGCCGGGCATTGGTGGCTCACACCTGTAATCCTAGCTACTCAGGAGACTCAGATCTGAGGATCTCGGTTCAAAGCCAGCCCAGGCAGGAAAGTCCGTGAAACTCTTATCTCCAATGAACCACTAGAAAACTGGAAGTGGTGCTGTGGCTCAAGCGGTAGAACGCTCACCTTGAGCTAAAGAGCTGAGGGACAGAGCCCAGGCTCAGGGTTCAAGCCCTATGACCGACCAAAAAAGAAGCTGAGATCTAAAGTCAAGTTTCCAGGCCAACCCCAAGCAGAAAAAATCCTCCAGACTCCATCTCCAAAAGAATCATTAAAAAGCTGAGCTAGAGGCGTGGATCAAGTGGTAGAGGACCAGCAAACAATCCGAGCAAAGCAAGAGATCTTGACAGAGCCAGACAACTTGGTTTCATATCCCCTCTCTGCCATTTTAGCTGTGTGACTTTGAACATGTAGCTTTACCTCTCTGGACCCTATGAGTCCACATACATAAGGTACTTAGAACAGCAACTGACACTCAAGTCATTACACTAGCAACTAATTACAAGTGCAAGGTTTTCTTATGAGTCTGTTATTCTGATCATGAGTCTGTTATTCTGCTAAGCACGTGACCACCAAAATAGGATGGCATTACACAATAAACTCATAAGGTCACTAAAATTATTACTTTTATTATTACTATTAGTTCTTATCGATCTCATTTTCCAGATGGTGAATTTAGGGGCATGTAATGAAGCTGATAACTAAAATCTCCAAGATGGCCGAGCTGGGTTCTGCACCTGGTTTTCTGAGTACACAGTTGGAGAGTTAGCAAGATGTAGCTCTGATTTGTCTAGGACAACAATGATTTCGGTTTCCCAAATGCCAACTCTGTGCCAGAACGTCTCCTTCACCATGTCTTCTCCTTGTGGGTTATGATCAGTGATGTAGGCCAATGACTGTGGTGTGAATGTTCCTTCCTCCAGCCTGACTAATATGACTGGATATGGAGATGAGGCTAAATGCACACAATGGGTGGATGGCCAGAGCTGGCCCCAGCTGCCATGATGGATTATGATGGCAGATGCTTGGCCTTTCTCATCTGACGGCTCCCGTTGTACAGATTCCACCCCCCATGAAGTGAAAATATTTGAGGTTGGGTACAGAAGCTCATGCCTGTAATCCCAGATACTCAGTGAAGGCAAAATCTTGACAAGAGCCTGTCTCAATCAATAAAAACTGTGCAAGCCAGGCCTCAGTGGTTTACCACTGTGATCCTAGCTACTCAGGAGGCTGAGATCTGAGGATCATGGTTCAAAGCCAGCCTGGGCAGGAAAGTCAGTGGGACTCTTATCTCTCAGTAACCAACAGAAAACTGGAAGTGGTGCTGTGGCTCAAAGTGGTAGAGCACTAGCTTTGAGTGAAAAAGCTCAGGGACAGCACCCAAGCCCTGAGTTCAAGCCCCATGACTGACAACAACAACAGCAAAAAAGCTAGCCATGGTGGTACATGCCTGTCAGGAGGTGTTAAATAGGAAGATTGTGGTCCAGATGAGCTTGAACAAAAAAATAAAGACTGTACCCCAAAGATAACTAAAGCACGGCTGGGAAGTGGCTCAGTGGTAGAGCGCTTGCCTAGCATGCATGAAGCCCTGGGTGCGAGTCCTCAGCACCACATAAACAGAAAAAAGCCAGAAGTGGTGCTGTGGCTCAAGTAGTAGAGTGCTACGCTTGAGCAAAAGAAGCTCAAGGACAGTGCCCAGCCCCAGGACTGGTTTAAAAAAAAAAAAAGATAACTAAAGCAAAAAAATATCTGGAGATGTGGCTCAAGTGGTAGAGTAGCACCTGCCTACAAAGCAAGAGGTGCTTGCTGAGTTCAAAACCCAGTTCAAAACCCATATGCTATTATTATTATTATTATATAATTACTTTGTCAGGGGCTAGGAAGGTGGCTCAGTGGTAGAGCGCTTGCCTTGCATGCCTGAGGCCCTGGGTTTGATTCCTCAGCACCACATAAGCAAAAAGAAAAAAGCTGGAAGTGGTGCTGTGGCTCAAGTGGTAGCGCGCTAGCCTTGAGCTGAAGAGCTGAGGGACAGCGCCCAGACCCAGAGTTCAGGCCCCACGACCGGACCCCAAAAAAAAAAAAAATTACTTTGTCAGTTGTGGGGCTTGAACTCAGGGGCTGGGCACTGTCCCTGAGCTTTTGTGCTCAAGCCACAGCACTACTTTCAGTTTTCTGGTGGTTCACTGGAGATAAAAATCTCACAGATATTCTTGCCTGGGCTGGCTTTGAACTGTGTTCCTCAAATCTCAGCTCCTCAGTAACTAGTATTCTTGAGCTTTTTTTCTCAAGGCTAGCACAGCTCCACTTCTGGCTTTTTTTTTTTTTGTAGTGGTTCATTGGAAATAAGGAGTCTCATGAACTTTCCTGCCCAGGCTGGCTTTGAACTGGGATCCTCAGATCTCAGCCTCCTGAGTAGCTAGGATTATAGGTGTGAGCCACTGGTACCCAGCTCTATTATGCTACTTTGTATGAGGGTCTTGAGCAACCAGTGAGTTTAGTGTCCACAGGAAGGAGGGCTATATTACCGATCCTTTGGGGGCAAGAAAGAAAGGCTTCCAGGTGAGAAGGTATGTGTCTGAAATTGGGTAGCTGGCCAAAGATCAGAGAAAGAGGTGGTGTGGGTGTGTGGGGGGGGGTCAGGTAAATAGATGGCTTGGGCGGGGGTCAGAGGGTCTCACCTCTCTCTCTGAGGACTCCTCCCCTTGGAGCGCAGGGGAAGGGGACTCAGGCTCGGTGGGCGGGGGCTGCTTCTGGGGCCCCCCCAGACCAGCCAGTGTGTCCTCCACCATCCACAGCTGCTGCTGAGCAGAGGCTCTGTCCTGGGAAAACAGGAATTTAAGAGGAAAAAAAAAATCCAAGAAGCGTTATTGCTGATAGGCCCCGCCCAGGAAGACTCAAATCACGAGGTGGTTTATGGGGTCCCGATTCTTTTTGCTGCCAATATCCAGCCCACCTACCGTCCTTCCTTCTTCGCTTCCTCTCACCTTCCCTCCCTTGCCTTCCTCTATTCCTTTCTGAGACAAGTTCTCCCTAAGTAACCCAAGTTGGCCTCTAACCGCCAGCCTCTGTCACCCAAAAGCTGGGATTACAGGCATGCACTACCATAGCCCATAAGAAGTTAATATTTCTGTTTTGCCAATCCTAGGGCTTGAACTCAGGGCCTGGGCACTGTCTCTGAGCTTCTTTTTGCTGAAGGCTAGCGTTCTATCACTTGAGCCACAGCACCCTTTCTAGCTTTTTCTGTGTATGTGGTACTGAGGAATCAAACCCAGGGCTTCATGCATGCTAGGCAAGCACTCTACCACTAAGCCACATTCCCAGACCAAAGTTAATATTTTTGAAGACAGCTCTATGATCTGGAATCCACTAACTAGGCTTAGAATGAGGAAAGCAAGTCTGAAGCTAGACCCCTGTGGTTTATATCTTAGGGAATAGGGTTAAATTAAGAAAGGGGCGGAGCTTTGAACTGGATACTGCACAGCATGCTGGAGACTGGGCTGGAGGTGGATTTTAGCAATGGGAGTCAGAGCTTTAGGTAGCTTTAGAACCAGGAAGGGGTCTGGGAACTGTTCTCAGTCTGAAAGTAGGTTTTGGCTACAATGAGAATGAAGGCAGGGGAGGGACTGCTGGGGAAAAGGGAGGGGCTTCCGCCATGGGCCATGGGAGGGGCTTAAAGTCAAAGGTTTCCAGGTGGAACTTGGGAGTGGGGGGGTTGGGTTTGGGGCTCAATGGGAGGATGTACCTGGGGGGACCCAAGGTGCAGCAGATACTCCAGGGTTTCTCTCAAGGTCCCTAGTTCCTGTTCCAAGCCGCTGTAAGTATCCCAAACCCGCTCTCGCTCCTCAGGTCACCCAAAGCAAGAAGGAGACATGAGGTTAGATATGAGGTGCTGGGACTACAGGCGTCCACCACCATACCCAGTGACTAGATATTATTTTTAGTATGTAGAGTTTACATTAGGAGAGCAGACAAGGCCCAGAGGGGTTGTATAATTTTTCTAAGGTCATATAAACATTTTGAATTGGAGAGTATAGAAAGCCAGGAGCTAAAATCAAAACCACTATGTCAGCCAGATGCTGGTGGCTCACGCCTATAATCCTAGCCACACAGGAGGCTGAGATCTGAGGACTGCGGTTCAAAGCCAGCCTGGGCAGGAAAGTCTATGAGACTCATCTCCAGTTGAACACCAAAAAGCCAGAAGTAGAGCTGTGGTTCAAGTGGTAGAGCATTAGCCTTGAGCACAAGAGCTCAGGGACAACGCCTGGGCACTGAGTTCAAGCAAGCCCCAGAAATGGCGCACGCACCGCACGCACACACACACACACACACACACACACACACACACACGCACACACATACACACAAAATCACCATGTTGTGAATGAAACTCTACAATCCATCACTAGTATTCAAAGGAAAAAAAGAAAAAAATAGAGAAAAGAGATAAAAGGAAAAGAAAAAATGGGGGAAAAAACTTAACCCTTCTTTATTTCATGCTAGGACTGGGGCTTGAACTCAGGGCCTGAGCACTGTCCCTTAGCTTTTTCCACCCGACTAGTGGTCTACTACTTGAGCCATATCTCCACTTTCAGCTTTTTGGTGGTTAGAGACAAATATCTTGTAGGCTTACCTGCCTGGGCTGGTTTCAAACCACAATCTTCAGATTTCAGCCTCCTGAGTAGCTAGGATGACAGGGGTGAGCCACCAGCGCTTAGCTTAATGAGCCCTTCTTAAACTACTAAACCATGTTGTGTTGCTTGTCAGTCCCTTCATGATACTCAAGATTATTGGGCCAGGGGTTGGTGGCTCACGCCTGTCATCCTAGCTACTCAGGAGGCTGAGATCTGAGGATCACAGTTGAAAGCCAGCCCAGGCAGGAAACACCATGAGACTCTTATCTCCAATAAACCACCAGAAAACCGGAAGTGGTGCTGTGGCTCAAGAGGTAGAACCTTGAGCTGAAGAGCTGAGGGACAGCGTCCAGGCCCAGAGTTCAAGACCCATGACTGACAACAACAAAAAAAAGTTTATTGGGTAAAAACTTCCCTAGGTCATACTCTCCAGAACTTCCTAAAAGCCCTCAGCTTCTGCTTAATACCTGTCCAAGACCTACTGCCCCTTCCCAGATAACTTACCTGGGCCAGGTGACAGAGGGCGGCCCTCACACTGACCAGCCGGTCCTGCAGGAGGCGCTGGTGGCCCCAGGCCCTGCCCGGTGCTGCTGCGTCCCTGGTTGCCTGGCTCAGCTGCTGCCTGGTCAGCTCCAACGCGGCCTCCAGCTGCTCCTGCATTCCAGAGCACAGTGGTTAGAATTCTGCCCCCACACCCAAACCCAAGGATTCCCCCCCTCCCCATCACCCTTCCCCTTCCAGAACCTTCTCCTCCTGCCGCTGGTCGATGTCCTCCTGGAGGCTTCTCAGGAGTCGATCCTGCCCACACAACTTAGTCAACAGAGTCTGGGGAAATGAAGCAAGAAGCTGATCATGGACTTCATCGAGGCTTTCTGTCTCCTTCACCATCTAGAATATTCTCTCCCCAACTTTGGGAACTCAGCAGAAGTTGGATCTGGGAGAACTTACATCTGTCTCCAACTTTTGATGGAAGGCCGAGTCCAGGGGTGGACCTGGCTGTGGAGGAGAAAGGCCCAGGTCAAGAAGACAGTCCCCACACACACCCAAACACCCTTCTTGCTAGCTTCCCTCCAGCTTCAGGAAACCTCAGCAGAGCAAACCTCACATCCTTACCCTCAGGAACAGCCCTTGAGCTCTGTCATCAAACAGCCATGACAAATATTAAAATTCACGAGGAGAACAGGGTACCAGGGGTACCTAGCCTGTCATCCTAACTACTCAGGAGGCTGAGATCTGAGGATTTGGGTTCAAAGTCCATGAGACTTTTTTTTCTAGTCCTGAGGCTTGACTCTGGGCCTGGGCACAGATAGTCTTCTACCACTTGAGCCACAGAGCCACTTCTGGCTTTTTCTGTGATTTCTTTTTCTTTTATTTTTTTTGGGGGGTCCAGTTGTGGGGCCTGTACTCTGGGCCTGGGCGCTGTCCCTCAGCTCTTCAGCTCAAGGCTAGCGCTCTACCACTTGAGCCACAGCACCACTTCCGGCTTTTTTCTTTTTGCTTACGTGGTGCTAAGGAATCGAACCCAGGGCCTCAGGCATGCAAGACAAGCGTCTACCACTGAGCCACCTTCCCAGCCCCTTTTTCTGTGATTTCATGCAGGTAAGAGGTAAAGAGTCTCACAGAATTTCCTAGCTGGCATTAAACCTTGATCCTCAGATCTCAGGGTCCTGAGTAGCTAGGATTACACATGTGAGCCATCAGCACTGACTCCGTGAGACTCTTACCTCCAACTAACCAGGAAAAAGCCAGAAGCAGAGGTATGGCTCAAGTTGCAGAGTGCCAGCATTGAGCACAAAATCTAAGGGACAGTGCCCATGTCCTGAGATCAAGACACAGTACTGACATGAAGAAGGAGGAGGAGAAAGAGGAGGAGAAGGAAAAGATGAGGAAGATGGAGGAGGAGGAGGAGGAGAAGGAAGAGGAGAAGGAAGAGGAGGAAGAGGAGGAGAAGAAGAAAACAAAAAGCCACCTGGCAATAGACACAGAGACAGGTGGAATGCAAACCAATGAACACTTGAGATCTCTTTTTTTGTTTTTTGTTTTTTTTGTTTTTGTTGTGTTTTTTTTTGGGGGGGGGGGTCCGGTTGTGGGGCCTGAACTCTGGGCCTGGGCGCTGCCCCTCAGCTCTTCAGCTCAAGGCTAGTGCTCTACCACTTGAGCCACAGCACCACTTTTGGCTTTTTTCTTTTTGCTTATATGGTGCTGAGGAATCGAACCCAGGGCCTCAGGCATGCAAGGCAAGCGCTCTACCACTGAGCCACCTTCCCAGGCCCAACACTTGAGATCTCGAAGCACCTAAAACAAGGCCTTCAGAGGAACCGGGCAGCACATCTCCTTCTCCAGAATGATGAGAAAATTCACTTTGGTTATTTTAAGCTTTGTATTTTTCAGTCCCAGGATTTGAATTCATGTTCTAGTGCTTACTAGGTAGGTGGCTCTATCATTGAGCCTTTTCTGCTTGAGTTATTTTTCAGAGAAAGTGTTTATGTTTTACCTGGGACTGACTTGGATTGCAGTCTTCCTACATATGCCTTCCTCAGAGCTGGTATTACAGTTATGCACTACCGGACCCAATTTGTTTGTTGAAATGGATTCTGGCTAATTTCTTGCTAGCCTCCAACACTGATCCTCCCAATGTCCATCTCCAGAGAGTGGTACTTTGTTAGAATAGCTACAGGAAACTAACCCAAGCACCTAGGCAGAGACAAGGAACTGTCTAGTCTTCTCTCAATTCCTCGGCATGGAAGTGACATTCTTTATGGCAAAGAAAGCAAGGGAGGGAATTTCTGTAATATCTGAGGTACCCCAGGATACCTACCAACAAAACCATGGAGGCCCGGGTCCCGGGAGGTCTTGGGGGGAGCTGGAGATAAGTGGAAGAACCAGAGGAGGCCTGAGAGGAATACTGGAATAAAAATAGTACAGTGCAAAGGTCAGAATGTAAATATTCTTGACACTTTTTGTTGTTGTTGGTCATGGGCTTAAACTCAGGGCCCTAAGCTTCTTTGGCTCAAGGATAGAGCTCGGTAGCCACAGAGTGGCTAGTTAACTGGAGACAAGAGTCTCAGGGCTGGCTTTGAACCATGATTCTCAGATCTCAGCCTCCTGAGTAGCTAGGATTACAGGCATGAGCCAGCAGGGCCTGGCTGTTTTTGACATTTTGAAGTTTAGACAACACCCTTCCCTTTCTTCCCTTAACTGCTCATCAAAATTTCAAAATAAATGGGTGCTTAGCAGCCCCCAAAGGCTGATAGAAGCCAGCTGTGGATATTTGGGCTACAAGCCCATGATGATCAGAGGCAGGTAGCCAACTAGCTTTTTTTTTTTTTTTGTCGGCCGTGGGGCTTGGGCGCAGTCCCTCAGCTAGCGCTCTACCATTTGAGCTACAGAGCCACTTCTGGTTTTCTAGTGGTTTACTGGAGATAAGAGTCTCACAGACTTTTCTGGATCTCAGCCTCCTGAGTAGCTAGGATGACAAACGTGAGCCACCGGGGCCTGGCTAAGCTTATTTTTTATTTTTACTTTCTGAGACCTGAAGCAAATGAAACAGTTCTATCTCACAGCACTGTGTTGGAGAGGAGGCTGGACCACAACTCCCATGATGCTTAGAGAGCAAAGGCCAAGGAACCGTGGTGAGGCCCATGGGAGATAGAGGCCTGTGACACTACCTAAAACCGCCTCCCCCAACACATTGCATTTTGGGTGGGAACTACAATCCCCATAATGCACAAGGCACAACTACCAGAAAATGTACAGGGGAAGACGTCTCTGCGGCCTCATGGGAGCTGTAGTTTCTCTTCCTCCACTTCTCCACTTACCTGTGTCCTGGGCTCCTGACTCCAGTGCTGGGGGCTCTTGGAGGGTCGAACTCCACCAGCTTCGGAGCCGGTTCCTCGGCGGGGAGTCGGGGGCCGGGAAAGGGTCTGTCGCTGGGGACCCCAATCCAGAGGAGGCCGGACATCGATGCGACTTAAAGGGGTGTGAGGTCGGGCAGGGAGGGTTGCATCTCCTGATGAGGGAGGGGGTCGCCGCGCAGGAGCAGACCAGGGACGGGGAAGGCTCAGAGGAGAGGGAGGGCGAGAAAGCGGTGTGAACAGGCTGTGGTCAGGACAGAATCAGGAAACTGAGTCAGCTAGAGCCTCTGCTCCACCTCCACCATCCACTCCTCTATCTTTAGCCTCAAAAAAAAAATCTCATCTCCCTGTGTCTGCTGTACGGTCCTCTGCTGGGAAAATCCTGAATAGTTTCTCCTGTGTACCCTACTTAAGGCCTTGGCAGCAACCCCAACAACAGGCAAGCACTAAGCAGACAGTACCGGGCCCCGCCCCCAAGCCCTAACCACGCCTTCCCACCAGGCCCCGCCCCAACACCTCTGGCCCCGCCCACCACAGGCCCCGCCCCTACCACCAGCCAGCCTTACTCTGGGCTTCTTGTCCTCCTCATTCCTGGGCTAGATGGCAGGTGTGATGTAGGGCTGGGAGAGAGCAGCCTGGATCTGCCACGACCTTTGGAGAGCCGAGCCACCTCTGGTGACTCTGAGATGCATCCTTCTCCCCTGCTCACTTCTGGAGGACCCCCAGGGCCTCCAGGGCCTTCCCCAGGCTGGGGACGTGCGGGTGACCTGGATCGCCCACTAGCAAGGTGGCACAGAAAAAGACATCACTCATACGGCTCTCCTAACAGCACTATTTTCTTAGTGGCCCACTCTGAAAGGGGAGTTGTGCAATATGAGTAGCGTCCCAATCTCACCAGTCACAGCAGTGACTGGTACCAGGGCCATCGGATGCATCCAGGTCTATGAGAAACAGGTAGGTTTCTAAGCTCCAGACTGAGATTTAGGGTAGGTCAAGACAAAGCCTGAGAGACAGTCTGACATTTAAAAAAAAAATCTGTCCTTTTTTGTTGTTGTTGTTGCCAGTCCTGGTGCTTGAACTCTGGGCCTGAGCTCAAGGCAAGCACTCTCCCACTTGAGCCACAGCACCACTTCTGGTTTTGGGTGGTTCATTGGAGATAAGAGTCTCTCATGGACTTTCCTGGCTGGGCTGGCTTTGAATTGGATCCTCAGATCTCAGCCTCCTGAGTAGCTAGGATGACAGGTGTGATGGCACCTGGCTCTGTTCTTCTATTTTAGGTGACACCGTTAATATGGGTGCCTGGGGGCAGGGTTGAAATGGAGATTTGTGAGGAAGCCAATCAGAGAGTGTAACATATTGACAACCTAGGAGCAGCCACTGTTCATGAGATCCTCGGATTGGAGGATCAGCTCGAAGGGGTGGGACTGGGCGATGTAGGGGGCAGAACTTGAGAAAGTCCTTTTGCTGTTTGGGGGAACAGAAGTTCCCTAGAGGCAGAGCTTTAAAAGCACAGTCTCCTAAACTGGATATTCAAAGGGTGGGACTACTATGTGGAGATTAGCTTGGATCAGTTATGCTCAGAATGGAAGTCATGGGTGTGGCTTGGACCTCCACTCACCAATCTTCTCCCTCTGCTCTTGAGGCCCGGCCCAGTGCCCGAAGCCAGCCCCTCAGGTCCTCTAACGTATCAGCTGCTAGAACATAAGTCCTCATGCCAGGGTGTTCAGCCTGTGGGAAGAGAAGGTTTGCCAGTCCCAAGGTCTCTATAAAGGATGTCCTTGATCCTAGTTAAGAGCTTTTATGTCTAGCAGCGGATACTTCCTGCCCCAGTCTCTGTCACCTGCTACACCTGGGAAATGGAAGGACTCACGGTAAAGGTGAAGCGTCGTCCTCGAGGAGCTCCCGGCCCATCTGGTCTAACACTGTAGCTGGGGAGCAGGACACTGCCCAGGACACTCTCCTCTCGACTGTCTGCAAAGAGGAGGGAGCAAGGGAGGGTTGGGGACTAGGAGTGAGTGTGGGAGGGGGGGTCTTCCCCAATCCATGCCATCTGAGACACTGACCCTTGTAATAGAAGAGGCAATGGCCGGAGAGAACAAACCAGCGGCGTTTCCACAGCCGGAGTCCAGAGCTGTCCTGAGAAGAGAGGAGAAAGTAGATGGACACTGTGCTACATGAGAACAAAGCCCCAGAGACACATGGGAGAAGAGGGGCAGAGATGAGAGGGGACAGAGATGCAGAGGGAGGAGTTGAGAGGCACGTCTGACACCGGATATCCCACAGTGAACTGAGAGCCAGTGTATGGGTTGAGAGACAGATTTTTGCGCAATCAGACCTGTGTCTGACTCGAAGCTCTATACCACTTTCAAACTATGCCCTCAAGTCGTTTGCCTGCTAGGACCCTCACGATTTCCCATCTGACAACTGGGGATTGAGACATTTAGGAGGGCTTGGGAGAGATAATGTACCACAAATGATCAGGGACTTTAGAGAAAGAAGTGTTCCAGGTATGCTGGCGCCTGAGACACAGAGTGGCCAGGGTGGTGGTACTGAGTCATGATTCCAATTCTGAGCTTCTATCACCTCTGCCTGAACCACTCCACAGTCTCCATCCATAAGCCCTTTGCTGGGGACAGTAGTGACACCTGTAATCCCAGCTATGCTTCAGGTGCTAGGTAGGAGGATGTCTCTGGAGGCCAGTCTCAGGGCAAAAGCTCAGATCCTGACGTGAGGAGGACAGAGCATGTATTGAGGTCCTAAGTTCAAACCCAAGTACTGCCCAAAGTAGACAGTGAACGAATGCATCAGCGAATGAATGAATGAAACTATGTTAGAATAAGGGGAGAGGCCATAAGTTACATCAGGAGACATGGAAGGTAAGAAAGAATGGACAGCCAGGTCACGGCCCCAGGGTCCTTTTCTCCTGTGGACCTTACCTGCTTATGAAGCCAGCCCCGAATATGCACAGGCAAGTTGGGGTCCCTTCGGAGGGCATGGTTCCTCTTTCCAAAGGCATGGACTTTGTTTACCACTCGGGCAGGCTTCTGAGGAGAGAAGATGGACAGAAGTGAATGGGGGCTCACTTGGAATGGGCTCTAGGAGGGTTAAGAAGAGGCTGAATTTGGACGTCAGCTGGAGGCTGTTGCATACACCTATAACTCCAGCTTCTCAAAAGCAGAGGAAGGAGAATGACAGCAGAGGCAGGAAGGTGACAACCAAGGAACAAGTCGGCATGAAACTCCATCTCAAGCCAGGTGCTGGTGGCTCACCTCTGTAATCCTAGCTACTCAGGAGGCTGAGATCTGAGGATTGTGATTTGAAGTGGGGAGGGGGGGAGGGGGGGAGTGCCAGTGAGACTCTTATCTCTAATAAACTACTCAAGAAAAAAAAACTATAAGGGGTGCTGTGGCTCAAGTGGCAGAACACTAGCCTTGAGCACAAAGAGTCTCAAGGACAGTGCCTAGGCTATGAGTTCAAGCCCCAAGATCGGCAAAGGAACTCTATTTTGTTTTGTTTTTGTTTTTTTTTTTATTTTGGGTCCGGTCCTGAGGCCTGAAGTCTGAGCCTGGGCGCTGCCCCTCAGCTCTTCAGCTCAAGGCTAGCGCTCTACCACTTGAGCCACAGCAGCCACTTCCAGCTTTTTTTTTGCTTATGGGTGCTGAGGAATCGAACCCAGGGCCTCAAGCATGCAAGGCAAGTGCTTTACCACTGAGCCACCTTCCCAGCCCAAGGAACTCTATTTTAAAGAAAAGAAGAACAAAGTAAGAAACTAAACAGCAAAAGGACTGGATTTGTGATTCAAGTGGTAGACCCTGCGAGTTGAACATTTAGAAACAAGGATAAAAAAAGAAACTGGAGCTAAGCCCTGATCGAACACACCTGTAATCCTAGCTACTCAGCAGGCTGACATCTTTTTTTTTTTTTGGTTGGTCGTGGGGCTTGAACTCTGGGCCTGGGAGCTGTCCCTCAGCTCTTCAGCTCAAGGCGAGTGCTCTACCACTTGAGCCACAGCACCACGCCTGGTTTTCTAGTGTTTTATTGGATATAAAAAGTCTCATGGACTTTCCTGCCTGGGCTGGCTTTGAACCACGATCCTCAGATCTCAGCCTCCTGAGTAGCTAGGATTACAGGCATGAGCCACCAGCGCCCAGCTTCAGGTTGACATCTTTAAAGCCAGCTTTAGCAGAAAATCTGTGAGACCCTTCCCTCCAATTAACCAACAAAAAGCTGGAACTGGAGGTCTGGCAGATATGTTAGAGCATCAGCCTTGAGTGAAGAACCCAAAGGAGAGTGTGAAGCCCTTAGTTTGAGCCCCACTATCAATACAAAAAAGAAAAAAAGAAAAGAGGTGGAGGAAAAGGAAAAAGAAGAGCCACGCCCTCTCACTTCCCTGGGGACCTGGGCTGGGGCGGGGCTTCAGCAACCAAGTTCAACAGAGGTTCTTCCTTTGGCTGGGAATTGGGGAAAAAATAGGAGGGGTGGGGACAGAATAGGGCGTGGCTTCAAATTCCCCACTGCAGCTGATGCTTAACTTGGGACCTTCCCAGGTCTGGCAGACCACCCTGTTGCTAAGAATCCTTATCCTTAACAACCAGAATCCCAGGGCCAGGGAACAGAAGTATCCCCAGACGCGCGCCCCCCCAGCCTTTCTCCCTGTGCCCACCAAGGAAGCGCATACCTTCGTGCTCAGGCTGCTGAGTGAGGAGACAGTGGAGGCGCTGCTGGCCAGGCTGAGGCTGCTCCGAGGTCGAACCTCCTCCATCAATGGCTTGGAAATGCACAGAAAGGGGCTGTGTCTGGGCAGTTAACCCAGCTGGGGACAGGGATGGGGTCAGAGGCTCCAAGGTCAGAAGAGGAGGAGGAGGAGGAGAAAGAGCCTGTTGTTTGAAGTTGGGGGGCTGGGGGAGATCATGGGCTAAGGACCGCATACCAGGGGCAATGCCAAGAGAGGTGGGCGGCCCTAGCAGCTGCGGGGAGGGGGGCAGTTGTCTGAATGCTGGCCAGAGAATAGGGGCTCCTTTATTCACACCCACTGAGCTCTGGCCAGGAATGTGACCCTTTTTGTGCTTAGAGACACCTCCCACCCCCATTCCTTGCATCCTTCTGGCTGCCCCAGGCTACCTGTCTCCCACTTCCCATGCATCCCCCCCAAAAAAAAAAACCATCCTTACTCCCCAAGCCCAGGCCTGTGGGTGCCCAGGCAGGAATGCACACCCGGGCAAGCCCTCCCAACCCAGGCAGAAACTTACCCAGCCCTGGAGGGGTCCCAGGAACTGAAGAGGGGGCCCGGTGTCCGTCCTTTGTCGCTTTAGGTGGCTCCCTCTCTCTCTCCCTGTCTCTGCTCACTTGATCTTCCCCACACTTGTTTTGTCTGTCTCCTGTCTTGTTCTCTGTTTCTGCCTCACCTTGTCTCTTCTGGTTTTCTTTTCTCCTCTCTATTATCTCCGATCCCTTGGCTCTTCCTGTCTCTCTCAATCCTTCTATCCAAGTCTGCTCCTCTAATTGAATCACGGCCAAAATCTCAGTCTCTCTCTCTCTCTCCCTACCCCCTATCTTGCACTTTCTGCCCCGTCTTGCACTTTCTTCTGCTGTCAAGATCTCTTCCTCTTGTTCCCCGTGGCTGCTGTTTCCTTCCCGTCTTTCCAATTCTCTTCCTCCCTCTCTCTTTCCTCCCTCTCCCAGTTTCTCTTTCCTCTCTGCTGGTTTCCCCCTCAGCCTTGCCAGCCGCCCACGCGGCTGTCTCCCCTCCCAGTCCTGGCTGTCCCCGCCCCATCACAGCCTGACCCCTGGCTCAGCTGCCCCCACGGCTGAGGGGAGGGACTCCCCCCCCCTCACCCCCAGTTCTTGGGTTCCCTGAGCTGTGACTGGAACTTCTCAATGTGTGGAGCTGAGCCCTCAACTCTATAGTCTCAAGGAATTATGTGGCTAGGGGTCTAGACCAGTGTTCCACTTGTCCCCCTCAGTGAAGAGGACTTTGGGGATTGTAAGGGGTCCATAGCTGGAATTCCTGAAACTCTGGAACAACTGGGATTAGGGATCTAGAAGTGTAGCTTTGAGTGAATGGCGCAGGGGTGTTCCATTTAGCTTCCCCAGAAAGAGGTGATGCGTTTCAGATCTCTACCTTAGACCCAGGTGAGAATTCTTGTCAGACATTTGCTGGGCCCCAGGCTGGGGACAGGGATAGCTCAGTGTTGGAGCACTGGCTGAACATCTATGAGGCCCTGGGTTCCAGGCCCTGCACCCTTCTCTACCCCCCAATAAAAAGATTATGAACCGAACTGGCTTCTTGGGTCTGAAGTTCGTGGCAGAGCCACACCCAATCAGAATTTCAGTTCAGATAAACAGCCTCTGTATCCATTTCCAGCAGTGAGACCTAGGAATACAGCCTTGTGACCATGAATCAAGTCAGTTTAGCAGACATTCCCCTTTCCCTCTTTCCCTCCCCCTCTTTCCCCTCCTCTCTCTCTCTGTGCCGGTACTTTGGCCTCTCTTAGCTTTCCTCCTCAAAGCTAGTGGTGCTCTTGAGCTCCACTTCCACATCCTGCCTCGGCTGGCCTCGAATGAAGATTCTCAGATCTCAGCCTCCTGAGTGGCTACAGGTGTGAGCTACAGGTGTGAACCAGCCAGCACCTGGAGGTCTATCAGATGTTACACACATGTTGTAGTGGTGCACACCTACTATGTGCCAGGCTATGACCCAATCGTTGAGGAAGCAGTGAGTTGATGAATCTGGATTCTGCTGCGACCCACACCCCCTCCTGCCCCCTTCTCCTGGGGAAATGGCTTGATCCTAACCTTAGGTTTCCTTATTTGGGATACAATAATATCCTACTCGGTACCCTACCCCTGAGAGGATGTGGCCTGGATGTCGGGGTGGCAGGCTTTAGACATGGCCTGCTGGTTAAATCGAAACACAGGTAAGAAGGGCGCCAAGGGACCCGCTGCCCAGGTCCGTGCCTTTGATGGACAGTCAGGTCGCTCAGGGGGGCGTGGCCACGCTGGGACAGGCCCTGTGACGTCACATCGCCTGGACTCTCCGCGAGAGCTTTCGGTGTTATTTTCCATCTGCCCACGCCCGGCCCTGTGATTCCCAGACCCCGCCTCCTCGTGACGTCAGCACGTCCGCTGCGTTGGTCTATAAAGGCCCGGCGGCCCGCGTCGCTCCGCTCTGTCGTCGGCTCCGTGCTCAGCCTGTGGATGTTTACATGCGAAGCGCGACTCGGCTCTGCGTGTCTTCGTCGCGACAGCGCTTGCGACTTCCGCTGAGACCTCGAGACCCCCGGCCCGCCGCCTGAGGGTGCGATGAAGGCGCTGGCTTCCCGAACCGTCCGGACCTACGATCGCTTTTGGAAGCTCAAGCCAACACTCCTACCCCCGGGGTGACGCGCAGGCCCCAGCCTGAGTGAGTGAGAGGAGCGGGCCGGGTGGGGTTGGAGGTGAGGGGTGGGGTAGGGTGGGATGGGGAGGGGCTCGAGGCCGGACTCCTGGCCAGTAATGCGGGAGGGGGGCTTAGTCCCGAGATGGGAAGGTTCTGGATCGTGGCAGCTAGGTTGTAAGGAAGGAAGACCCTCTCGGAAAGCCTGACTCCTGGGGGAGGGGAGGGGGCGTAGTCTTAGCGTCTGTGGGAGTCAGCCTTGGGTCCCCAAGGTAAGGAATCGCACCCGGGCGGTGTGGATGGAGGGTCAGGCGATAGAGACTTGATGTGGTCGATTTTCAAAATCATCCAAGAATTGGGGGCTGTGATTTGTTTCCAGAAAGCACGTAGAAAACTTGGGGAAGTCCCAGGGGTCTGGGAGTTTGGATTCTTGGGATATTAGGAAAAGTGCGAATTTAGTACCTAGGCTCGGGGATGTAGGGATGAAGGGGAAGAGAGGCACGCAGATGGGCGTGGCTGAGATTAGAAAGGAATTTGGGTGGAATTCCCTTGTTGCTATTTTTGTCTTATGACTCAAAGCTGTGCCCTGAGGTTCTCGAAAAAGCTGGGTCAGCCTCTCCCCTGGGACTGAGGATTGGGCCCCAGCTCCTTTGTGTGCTAGGCAAGAGCTCAGAGCTACATCTCTGGGCACTTATTTTGAGACAGGATTTTCTTAAATTACACAGGCTGTCCTTGAACATCCACCCATTTCCAGAATAGCTGGGATTACCGGAGATCCCTGCCACACCCAATATGGTTCCTAATTTTTTTTCTTTTCCTTTTTGCCCCTTTCCTTCTAGTCCAGAAAGATGGCCCCAAGCCACGGATCTCACGCTACACAGCTCTGGAGGGATGTTCATTCCTTCTACCTCCTGTCTCCACTGATGGGCTTCCTCAGCAAGGCCTGGAGCCGGCTGAGGCGCCCAGGATCACCAGAGCCCTGGCAAGTACAAGTAGTAGCAGGAGCAGATGAGGTAGAAGCCGGTCTGCAGGTAGATGCCTCAGCCGCTGTGGCATCCCCCCAGTGGGGCAGACACCCTCAAGAGGGAGCAAATGGTAGTGAAGCCCCTGAAGATGGAGAAGCAGCCTGGATGCCCCCTGTTGGCCTAGAAACCAGTCATAGCTCCCCTCCTGAAACCTGGGGACTTTCAGATAGGAACAATAAAGAAAACGTCCAGAAAGAAGGAAGCAGGGACCCTGGAGATGAAGAAAGGAAATCTATGGATGGCCAGCCTGCACCCTGGTCCCCTGGCCTATTGATAAGGGGCCTGCGAGGTTCTGATAGCAAGTGTGGGGAGGAGGCAGCTGAAGAGGAGGGAGGGACTGAACTCTCTTATCCTTCATCACACTGGGATGGTTGTCCAGCCGTGGAGGACAACGACGATGGAGAAGCTGTTGAGGAAGAAGCTCCTGGAGCCTCTACTTCCCCAGTATCTCCACAAGTCAAGCCTAGCACTTGGGTGCATTGCCCGGGAGAGGAAGAGGATCGAACCACGGAGGAGGAAAAAAGAACAGAAGCCAGGGAGACTTCCATTTCTCCCACATCTTCCTACCCCAAGTCCTGGGAGTGTTGCCCAGGTGAGGCACCAGAGGAGACTGAAGAAGCTAAGCCAGAACCAGCTCCAGCTCCGAAACAGCTGCTTAGGGGCTGGGAGTGTCCCTCTAATGACTCAGAGGAAGAGGAGGAGGAAGAAGAGGACACTGCTTTAGGAGCAGCATCCATCCTTCTCTTGGGGGCCTCTGTGGGGGCCTGGGTGTGTTCGCCAGGAGAAGACACAGAAGATGAAGACAGCGAGCTGGAGTCAGCTGAGGAGGGGGAAGACACTGAGGCTTCCTCACTCACCCCCCCTACCAGTGCTTTCTTGAAAGCCTGGGTATATCGGCCTGGGGAGGACACAGAGGAGGAAGAGGAGGAAGACAATGATGAGGACAGTGAGTTGGAATCAGCTGCGGAGGAGGGAGAAGCTGAGGCTTCCTCATCCAAACCCCCTACGAATGTCTTCTTGAAGACCTGGGTGTATCGGCCTGGGGAGGACACAGAGGAGGAGGAAGAGGAGGAGGATCAATTTGATGATTCAGAAGCTGCTGAGGGAGGAGAAGCTGCTGAGTCAAGCCCTAGATCCACCCAGATCAGAAGCTGGGCCTGTCAGCCCAAAGAGACTGAAGAAGAGAAAGCACCTGAGCCCCGCCCCTTCCAAGTGGCCATCTATTTACCTGGAGAGAGGCCGCCAGCCCCCTGGGCTGCTCCCCAGCTGCCCATCCGACTCCAAAGGCGACTTAGGTTGAAAGAAACTCCCACCCAGGAGCCGAACGATGAGATTCCTCTAAACACCAGAAAGGTGAGCCCTTGGCACCTAGTACTCTTGATTCCATATGTAGGTCGCTGAGCTTGATTGAAGTTTGAGACAGGGAGGGGGTGGAGGAAGATGGGCCAGATGCCAGACTCCTGTGTCCCTGTGTTACAGAGGATTGCACGTGCACTCTACTGGGAAGATTGTGTACACTGTCACGCAATCCTCTGAAACAGAGACTGAGTCCCCGTGGGAGGGATGGCTCATGATAGCTCCTGGAAACTCTGTTGTCATGAGTCATAAGGGCCTTTCCCGTGGTAGGCAGGTGACCAGCTTAATAGGCAGCATGCGTGTGTAGCTAATTCGGCCTTCTCTGGATATCTCTAGCCCTGTGCCTTTAGTGTCTAAATTCCGGTGTGTGTGTCTGTCCATCCCCAGGTGCGGTTTTCTGAGAAGGTCACTGTCCATTTCTTGGTTGTCTGGGCGGGAGCTGCTCAGGCTGCCCGCCGAGGCCCTTGGGAACAATTTGCCCGAGATCGAAGCCGCTTCGCCCGCCGCATCGCCCGGGCCCAGGAGGAGCTGGGCCCCTGCCTCACCCCCACCTGGCGGGCCAGAGCCTGGGCACGACTGGGGAACCCACTCCCATTTCTGGCCCCCATAGCTGCCCCTACCCAGATCTTGCCTTCCTCCCTCTCTTCTGAGGTCCCAGCCCAGGCCACGCCCCTTCCCTCTTCCCCCCTCCTGTGAAACTCCAGCTCCTGGCCTGTGTCTGAGTGTGTCAGAAACAAGGTAGGGGGAACTGGTGGCTTATGCCTGTAATCGAGAGGCTGGGATCTGGGTATCGTGGTTCCTAGCTGGCCCGGGCTGGAAACTCCACCAGACTTTTTAATCTCCAATAAACCACTCAGAAAAAAAAGCCAGAAGTGGAGCTGTGGTTCAAGTGGTAAAGTGCTAGCCTTGAGCACAAAGAGGCTTGGGGACAGCACTCAGGCCCTGAATTCAAGCCCCAGGATCGGCAAAAAAAAAAAAAAAAATATTTATTTATTCCTGAATTCAAGCCCCAGGATCGGCAAAAAAAAAAAAAAGAATATTTATTTATTACAGTGTTGGTTTACATGTGAAATAAAACCTTTTGTAAGTGAACAACTTTTCTGTGTGCATCCTGTTTGTTTCCTATATTTGAGAGGATTACACAAAGGTTAAGGCCTGAGTAGATTTCTCATCAACTCTCCAATTAAGGCTGTTGTGTTTTTTTCTTGTTATCTGCTTAAATCTAAATTTTATTTTCTGAAGTGGGGGTTGGAATTCTCACTGATCCCTAAAGAGAGGATTAAGGCTGGGCACTGGTAGCTCACTCCTGTAATCCTAGTTATTCACAAGGTTGAGATCTGAGGATCTTGGTTTGAAGCCAGCCTAGGTAGACAAATCCAAGAGTCATATCCAGTTAATCAGCAAAAAGCCAGAGCTGGAGGCATTACTCAAGTGGGTGGAGTACCTTTTTTTTTTTTTTTTGTCAGTCTTGGGGCTTGAACTCTGGGCTTAGGCAGTGCCCCTCAGCTCTTCAGCTTGAGCCACAGCGCCACTTCCCGTTTTCGAGTGGTTTATTGGAGATGAGAGTCTCACGGACTTTCCTGCCCAGGCTGCCTTTGAACCACAATCCTCAGATCTCAGCCTCCTGAGTAGCTAGGATTACAGAGGTGAGCCACTGGCCCCCTGCTTATGGAGTACCAGTCTTGAATGGAAAAAGTTAAGTTCAAGCTCAGTACCCAGCTAGTGCCTTTAGGCCTGTAGACCTAGCTACTTGAGAAGCATGAGGTCCTGAGTTCATGCCCTAACATTGTCTCACAATTTTTTTTTTTTTGGGGGGTCCGGTTGTGGGGCCTAAACTCGGCCTGGGCGCTGTCCCTCAGCTCTTCAGCTCAAGGCTAGCGCTCTACCACTCGAGCCACAGCACCACTTCTGGCTTTTTTCTTTTTGCTTATGTGGTGCTGAGGAATGGAACCCAGGGCCTCGTGCATGCAAGGCAAGAGCTCTCCCACTGAGCCACCTTCCCAGCCCCTTGTCTCACAATTTTATGTTCCCCAGTTTCACTTTTTTTTTTTTTTTCCTAGTTCTGGGGCTGAACACAGGGCCTGGGCACTGTCCCTGAGCTTTCCCTAAAGCTACAGCACCACTTCTTTTTCTGTTTATGTAGTAGAGTTGAACCCAGGCCTTCATGCATGCTAGGCAAGCCCCATGAAGCCACATTCCCAGCCCCCAGCTTCACATGTTTAAACCCTACACCCATATTCAAGTTCACAGGGGAAAGTTAACAATCTTCTGAGCTCAGCATCCATCCAGTTCAAAGGTGAGCTTCATACCCTGTCTGTCTCCACTGGATAGCTAGATTCCTGCCATGCTACCTCTTCATTTCTCCAAGCTCTGGTACTGGAGTTCTGTCTGTCTCACTCTTGCTCAGCTGGTACTTTTCCACTTGAGCCATGCCTCAAACCTGGTTTGAATTCAGGTCCTGGACTTTTTTTGGGGGGGGGGACAGGGGGTCTGGTCGTGGGGCCTGAACTCTGGGTCTGGGCGCTGTCCCTCAGCTCTTCAGCTCAAGGCGAGTGCTCTACCACTTGAGCCACAGCGCCACTTCCAGCTTTTTTTTTTCTACTTATGTGGTGCTGAGGAATCGAACCCAGGGCCTCAAGCATGCAAGGCAAGCACTCTACCACTGAGCCACCTTCCCAGCCCAAGGACCTGGATTTTTGTGCTTAAGGCTAGCACTCTACCACTTGAGCCACCGTTCCACTTCCCGCTTTTTGGTAGTTCACTGGAGATAAGTCACAGACTTTCCTGACTGGACTGACTGGCTTTGAATTTCCACCCTTAGATCTCAACCTCCTGAGTAGCTGGGATTACAGGTGTGAACCACTGATGACAAGCCAATCTGGCTTTTTGTTATTTTGAAGATGAATCTCTCAGACTTTTCCTGCCCTGGGCTGGCTTTGAGCATCCATTTTCCAGATGTGTCTCCTGAATAGCTGGGATTATAATTTAAGCCACTAGGGCTCCAACTCTCTTCACATACAGTATGATACATTTTTTAGACTTACACTGCTTTGACCTAACAGACAACCTGTGTGCTTTTCCAAGTGTTTTGTCTGTCTACAGTGCCTGTGAGCTCCATGACATCCAGCACAGGACTACTGTACGTGCACGTGACATATAATAAGTGTTGGTGATTAGTAATCACCAAGTAGTGCAAAAGAAGGGAGTTGGTGAGCTATGATGGTTTATTGAATTACTCACAAGCCAGCTTCCCATCGAAACTGGATAAGCAGATAGCAAAAGCTTGGAGGGGGCAAAGTGGGTAGCGGAAATCCATGGTGAATGTGTCTGAGGCCACACGGCCAAACTGGAGCACCAGGTAGTCCGCTGAGGAGGAAATCAGAACTACGCATTAGCCAGACCCTATCAAGGGCCCTAAGTAGCTGCCAGCCCCAGCTAGGAAAGACTTTGAGGGGTGTATAAACTACATTTCCCAAGAGGCTTTGCAACAGCAAGGTGCCTTGCAGCTTTGGAAAGTGCTCAAGGGCTGATGGGAAATGTAGTTTTATATACTCAACTCCTTTTCCCCTCCCCAACCCCGGGTAGGCCCAAGTAAACGGGTAGGTTCCCAGGAGCTCACGGTCATTCGGAAGTATGATTTGGAAGTTCTTTATGGAAGCCTGAGTAACCCGACCATGGAAATCAAGCACGTAGGCACCATCATTTTCGTTCCACATAGGGGGTTTGTTTTGCAGCAGAATCAGCCCTTCATTGTCCCCCTGTTGGACACGACTCAGGAGAGTCTCTTGTTCCTGCAAAAGTTCAGTAGATGGCGTAGCTTGCTAGCTGCCCCCACCCCGTTTTTTCCAGATGCGTGTTTTTTGTTTTTGTTTTGGCTGGTCGTGGGGCTTGAACTCTGGGCCTGGGCGCTATCCCTCAGCTCTTCAGCTCAAGGTGAGCGCTCTACCGCTTGAGCCACAGCGCCACTTCTGGTTTTCGAGTGGTTTATTGGAGATAAGAGTCTCACGGAGTTTCCTGCCTGGGCTGGCTTTGAACCGTGATCCTCAGATCTCAGCCTCCTGAGTAGCTAGGATTACAGGTGTGAGCCACTGGTGCCCGGCCAGATACATCACTTTTGGGTCTCTAATCTTTACCTCCTTAAAACCAGAGTATTCTAAAGTCCTGTAAGCTTCACTTGGCCTCCTCCTCCCCTGGGAGTCCCCCCAGCTCCTCTTCTTGCCTTGGCCCAGGAATCCCAGCTCCCCAGCCTTGAGGACTCACATTTTGTGGCTGGACCTTAATTCTCTGGTTCCGCCTGTCTATTCCTGGGAGGATTACAGCCATTTTCCGAGGCCCCCGGAATCCCAAGACGTTGGTCTCCTTGGAAGAATAATAATCGACATTTCCTGTCTCTTCCTACCATCTGGCCCCATATTCATTATCTCCTTCCACGCTCCCCCCCCCAAGCCCCAGCATCCCTCTACGATGTGGCTTACATAACACACAGCCCCCAGCTCCTCTCTAATCTGTGACATTGAGGGGATAAAATGCTTCCGGTCCGGATTCACTCCATTGTTAAAGATGGTGAATTTAGTACCCAAGACATTAGATCTGCAGGAGGGTAGTAGAGACAATGACAATAGAAGTCACAGTGTAGTAGTTGTTACTCTAGCTGTACCTTAAGTGCTTTCTCTAAAAAATCAATCACATATGTATAAAGAATTGTTGTCTGTACCCATGGTCCCAGGCTTTCTCTTAGATGAGCCATGATAGTTTTGATTTCTTTTCTTTTTCTTTTTCCAGTTCTGGGGCTTGAACTCAGGGCCTAGGCACTATCCCTCAGCTTCTCTGGCTTATGGCTAGCACTCTACCACTTGAGCCACAGTGCCAATTCTGGCTTTTTCTGTTTATGTGGCACTCAGAATCAAATCCAGGTCTTTATGCATGCAAGGCAAGCACTCTACCACTAAGCCACATGCCCAGTCCTGATAGTTTTGATTTCTATTTGGCCCCATCTTTCTTCCCTCTAGACACAAGAATAAACAGACCTTTTGTCCCACTGGAACTTAGAAATCTCAGTCCCTAGCCTCTGAAGAAGTCACCTATCTTAAATCACAGCCAAAAGCTTTCACCTTTTCTCTTCCCCAATTTCTTTGATATACAACCAGCAGAACTACAAACCTATCATTTAATACAGCCTGCAGAACTACAAATCCCATCAGTCATTACAACCTGCAGAACTACAAAACCCATCAATCATCTAGGACCATCAGAAGGAACCTGTGTTCTGTGGCCCATTGGGAAATGTAGTCCATTTGTCACTTTTCTAGGTTTTCACCTGTGATTCATTATACATACTTTGCCTCTGCCTTACCTGACTTTGCCCACAAAGTTGACCCCATCTCGAGACATGTCTGTGGGGTCCATGGAGATGAGATAATTCGAAGTTTTACTCCTTTTCCTCTTTCTCCCAGCCAAGAGGAAGCGCTGTCATGGAAGGAACAGTTTGTGAAAATGAATTTCAGGTATTTGGCTAGAGCTGGAAGAGTCTAAGGACAAATGTCATGTCTTAGGACAGAGGAGATGGCAGAATGGCTTGAGTCACCAACTTGACTGGGTGATATATATATGACATATATATAATATCATATTTATTTATTTATTTATTTATTTATTTATTTTTGGTCGTGGGGCCTGAACTCTAGGCCTGGGCTCTGTCCCTCAGCTCTTCAGCTCAAGGCTAGCGCTCTACCACTGAAGCCACAGCGTCTCTTCCAGCTTTTTCTGCTTATGTAGTGCTGGATGATATGGAAGGAAACTATCAGTTTGAGTCCTGAAGGGGAGGCTTTAAGTCCTAATGTTGCCCCCTATCCTTCTGCCCATGGGTCCCAGAACTGGTCATAGCCCAGGCAAGTGCCAGGCTGCAGAGAATGAAGAACCTTGCTTGGAACATTACAAGGGTCTCTGGTAGACATTTCATCCAAGCAAACTGGGTCTGATCCCAAGTAGGGAAAGAAGCCTCTCTAGGAGAGGGAGAGACTACCCAGAGAGAAGACCACCACACTGGAAGGGGATTACCCAGCTGGAGAAGGGCGTGGCTTGCCCCAGGATTAGGGAGGATCTGACACCCAAGGCTCAAGGAGGGACTAATGCATATCTAAAGAGATGTGGTGGGGCTGGGCACCTATGGCTCACACCTGTAATCCTAGCTACTCAGGAGGCTGAGATCTGAAGATCCAGGTTCAAAGCCAGACCTGGCAGGAAAGTCTGTGAGACTCTTATCTCCAATAAACCACCAGAATACTGGAAGTGGTACAGTAGCTCAAGTAGTAGAGCACTAGCCTTGAGCTGAAGAGCTGAGGGACAGTGCCCAGGCCCAGAGTTCAAGCCCCATGACCAAAAACAAACAAACAAGAGAGGGGAGAAGGGCTGGGAATGTGGCTCAGTCAGTGGTAGAGCACTTGCCTTGCATGCATGAGGCCCTGGGTTCGATTCCTCAGCACCACATAAGCAGAAAAAAGTCAGAAGTGGTGCTGTGGCTCAAGTGGTAGGGTGCTAGCCTTGAGCTGAAGAGCTGAGGGACAGCACCCAGGCCCAGAGTACAGCCTCCACAACTGACCAAAAAAAAAAAAAAAAACAGAGAGGGAAGAGAGGGGGAGTGGGGGACAAGGCCTGATTTTTAAAGGTGGGTCCAACCCTGGGAAGGACATAACTTGATTTATGGGAAAGGAAGGCCTATGCCACTGGGCTCTATAAGACCGACCTCCTGGGCTGGGACTGGGGCTTAGTGGTGGAGTGCTTGCCTAGCATACATGAAGCACTGGGGTCGAACGCCAGAAGTGGCGGCGTGGCTCAAGTGCTACATTGCTAACCTTAAGCCAAAGAAGCTCAGGGACAGTGGCCAGGCCCTTGAGTTCAAGCCCTAGAACTGGGACAAAAACCTAAGTGTGGAAGTTGACAAGACCTCGATATAAGCCAAGCCAGGCCTGGATTTGTCAATTGGCTTGACTTTGTCCCCTGAGAGCCATACACCCCAAGGAGCTGCAATCGCACCTTGCCGCCATCAGCCGCCTCCAGGTACACCTGGTAGGTGGGGTATAAGGTCTTGTCCATGCCATGCTTGTTGCGATGGATGAGACACTGCACGATGTGACCGACCATGGCCGGCCGAAGGACATATGCCATCATGTCCTCTCCCAGCTGAGGGCCAGGGGCACAGGGTGGCAGGTCTTTGGTGCTGCCCAGGTTGAAACCGTCCTTGCCATCCTCGACTTTGGGGGCGCTGGGCTCCTCTTTGTTGATGGTTTCTGGGAAGTTTGTCTCTGCAGGCTCAAATTCGTTCTCTTCCAGGTTTTCTCCCTAGGACAAATCCAAAGTTGGAAGACAGTCAGGGACAGCTCTACCATCTAATTGGACATTTTCCCTCTTATTACCATGCCTTCTGATTATTGGTCAAGTATCTCAATCAACCTGCCCAGCTGAATCCTGATCAGCCATCAGTTGATTGGCTTCTTCCCTGTAACCTGGGTTCTCTCCACCAACTGATTGGATACTCCGTTTGAGAGCCTTATTCTACTAAAACCAATGTTTATCTAGATAATAAAACAGCCCAGTTCTACTCAAGTGAGATCGTTAATTACGTCTTACAACGGTCCATGTGTCTGCTGTCTTACTCTCAACAACCTCGCTGCCTTTCCATGGCTGCAGTTTTTTGTTCTGTTTTGTTTTAGAGAGGGTCTCACTGTGTAGCTGATTCTGGCTTCTAACTCCCAATCCTCCTGTCTCAGCCTCTCGAGTTCTGGGATTACAAGTGGGCACCCCCATATACCCAGCCATAGGCTGCATCTTCATGGCCATACACTCATTCACATTTTGATAAATTACATACACACACACACCACATGTTAGCAAAATGAGTCTCTTGCCATAGCTTAGTTCACTCCTTCCCTTTTCCACAGCTTAGCATACACCAAGTCCATGTAGTAAAGGCAGTAATTAATCAACTTCCAGCCCCCTTTACCTTAGGATGGCACTTCTCTGGGGCAGCTACCACTATAGAAGGCAACAAGAGCCCCTTAGAGTGACCTTCAGGTCTGGGCAGCTGCAGGGCCCTTATCTACTATTTGAACAGCAGCCATAAGTCCTAACCAGCCATGTGAAGCCCCTGGCACACATCCATACTGGGGTCTCTGCCTCCTAGCCCATTGTAGCCCCTCCTAAACCCCCTAGGTTATATAGGTCACCCCAGACAATAGGCAGTGCTTCTTCTCACTTCTCCCTTGTGAGGAGGAGTCTTCCCAGCCCCCTTTCCTGGCAATAAACCTTTCTTTGTTCTCTGTACCTGGATGTCTGCTTGGTTCTCTGGCAAAATCTAAGCTTATTTAAGCTAAGACCACACACACACACACACACACACACACACACACACACACACACACACACACACACACACACACACACACACACACACACACAGCCTCCATTACCCTATTACCATTGGCTTGTGGATACTTTGGCCTATTAGGGTCAACACTGACAAAGGCTCTGATTGGGCAGCAGGATTTTAGCTGATGTCAGAGGCTAGCCTTTTGTTCTTGCTTGGTGGTGGCTGTGCCTTCTCTCACCTGGCAGAATGACATGTCTCCTTGTCCTCCATCTGTATCTATTCCAAGGGCTGGTTTCAGACTGGGCACCTTGGATTCATCTCCAATATCCTGGGATTCACTCTCCTCTTCGCTGACTCCTAATGGATAGAAGCAGCCGGGGACAAAGTTCAGCAGAGCTAGTTAAGAATGGAACCCCTTTGGGGCTGGGAAGGTGGCTCAATGATAGAGCACTCGCCTTGCATGCCTGAGGCCCTGGGTTTGATTCCTCAGCACCACATAAGCAAAAAGAAAAAAGCCGGAAGTGGCACTGTGGCTCAAGTGGTAGAGCCCTAGCCATGAGCTGAAGAGCTGAGGGATAGTGCCCAGGCCCAGAGTTCAGGCCCCATGACTGGACCCCCCCCCCAAAAAAAAGAATGGAACCCCTGGGGTTCTCAGCCCTTTTAGTGCTGATCCTGGGCCTTGAACTCAGGGCCTGAGTCTTATCTCTGAGCTTTGTTGCTCTAGGCTAGCACTCTGCTACTTGAGCCCACAGCTGCACTTCTGGTCTTCTGGAGGCTAACTGGAAATAAGAGTCTCAGAGGCGGGGCTGGGAAGGTGGCTCAGTGGCAGAGTGCTTGCCTTGCATGCACAAGGTCCTGGGTTCGATTCCTCAGCACCACATAAGCAAAAAGGAAAAAAAAAGCCAGAAGTGGCACTGTGGCTCAAGTGGTAGAGCGCTAGCCCTGAGCTGAAGAGCTGAGGGACAGTGCCCAGGCCCAGAGTTCAGGCCCCACAACCGGACCCCAAGAGTCTCAGAGGCTGCCCTGCCTGGGTTGGCTTTGAACTGTGATCCTTAGATTTCAGTCTCCTGAGTGGTTAAGATGACAGTGTGCCCAGCTATGAGCCCCCTACTAGTGACTCTCATTTATTGCCTCGTCTGTCCCCCCAGTGAACAGGGGAATCCTCAGTCCTCTCTTTTCTTTGTCCCAGAGAAAACAACAAAGACTATGTGGTGGTGTGGTATTTGGGGGTTCCAGTTAGTGTGTTCTTGTCATTGAAATGATTGCCTTGGTAATTAGAATAAAAGAAATGAAGTGTTTTGAATGTTTTTTTCTCTTTTTTTTTTTTTCCTTCTGCTTATGTGGTGCTGAGGAATCGAATCCAGGGCCTCATGCATCAAGGCAAGCGCTCTACCTCTAAGCTACCTTCCCAGCCCTATCTTTTTTTTTTTTTTTTTTTTTTAATCAATCATGGGGCTTGAACTCAGGGCCTGCACCATTTCTGTTTCCCGGTGGTTAATTAGAGATAAGAGTCTCATGGACTTTCCTGCCCAGGCTGGCTTCAAACCTTGATCCTTAGACTGCAGCCTCCTGAGTAGCTAGGATTACAGGAATGAGGCACCAGCAGCAGGCTTGGATGTTTTTTCTTTGCTGGGTATGGTACTTAGGTTTGAAATTAGGGCTTCACACTTGCTAGGCTGGCACTCTACCACTTGAGCCACTTTTCCCAGCCTCCAAAGTTTTGGTAGTGTTCTAACATGGATGGTTGATCAAAAGCTAAGCATTGTTCTACTGTAATCCCTGTGGGAAAGGTAAGGCAATTAAGTTTGAGGCCAACTTGAACTAGGAGACCCTATCTCAAAAACAAACTACTATGAACAAACTCGCTAAAATAGGCATATTAACACCTGCCTGGAGTCCCAGTTGCTCCAGAGTCTAAGATGAGAGGATCACTCGAGCCGAGAAATTCGAGATCATCCTGGTCAACATAGTGAGAACCTGTCTCAAAAACAAAGTAATTCAAAAAGAGCTTGCTAAGTGAAAGAAACCAGACACAAAAGACCACATATTTTATTATTCCATTTACATTAAATAGACACAATGTTCAAATCTAAAGAGGGGTTACTTAGGTGGGTAAAAGAAGGTGACTGCTTCAAGATTTCTTTTTTTCAGGGCAAGTGTGAGCATGTGCACTTGTGAAAGCACATCCTTGGCCTTGAACTTTTTTATTTTTGTGACGGTCCTGGGCCTTGAACTCAGGGCCTGGTCTCTGTCCCTGAGCCTCTCTATGCTCAAGATTAGAGCTCTACCAATTGAGCCACAGCCACTTCTGGCTTTTTTCTGTGTATGTGGTACTGAAGAATCCAACCCAGGGCTTCATGCTAGGCAAGCACTCTACCACGAAGCCACATTCCCAGCCTTGGCCTTGAACTATTGTCTTGTCTGTTTCCTTTTTATTTTTTGTTGGTCGTGGGGCTTGAACTCTGGGCCTAGGCGCCATCCCTCAGCTCCTCAGCTCAAGGCTAGCACTCTACCACTTGAGCCACAGCGCCACTTTCGGTTTTCTGAGTGGTTTATTGGAGATAAGAGTCTCATGGACTTTCCTGCCCTGCCTGGCTTTGAACCATGATTCTCAGATCTCAGCTAGGATTACAGGCGTGAGCCACCAGTGCCCAGCCTGGCTTATTCCTTTAAGTCTGGCACTCTCATAGAAAAAGTGAGTGCCCAACCCCTGAGTTCAAGCCCCAGGACTGGCAAAAAGAAAAAGAACAAAACACCCTTTGCATCCAGTTCAAAGCCAGCCTGGGCAGGAAAGTCCACAAGACTCTTATCTCCAATGAACCACTCAAAAACCAGAAGTGGCACTATGGTTCAAAATAGTAGAGCAGTAGCCTTTAGCAAAAGAGCTCAGGGACAGCTCCAAGCCCTGAGTTCAAGCCTCACAACTAAAAAAAAAAAAAAGGTCTTATGGACTTTCTTGCCTGGGCTGGCTTCAAACCTCAATTTTCGGACCTCAGCCTCCTGAGTAGCTAGGATTACAGGTGTGAGCTACCAGTGCCTAACCTCAACTCTGAATATTCTAATGTGCAAAGAATTATCAACTTGACAGAGGTGAACTGTTTTGTTTATAAAGCAAACCAGGGGGTCAATTTGCCATATGGCGTACACACACACACTCACACACACACACACACCCCTCTCCCTCATGAGTGTGCGAAAATTACCACGTCGTTGGCGGGCTAGCCAGCCCCTTCGTCGAGTTCTGGGTGGCTGCTTATAAGGCAGGGGGAACACAGGAATGTCCTCCACGTAGACTTCCTCCAGCTCGGAATCTGTACTGTCTGGGAGCCAGGACATGGAGGGGAATGGAAAGAGGCCTTTGGAGTGCCCCTGGGGAAAGAAAGACTGGAGACTGGAATTACTGGGTGAGGTGGGGATTCAGGATCTAGACTCCTTGGTGTTAGGGAGGAAGAGCTGGGATCCTCAACTCCTGAGTCCTCTGGAGAGCAAGGATCTGGGGCTCCACCTCCTGGGTTCAAAAGGCCCAGGGTCTCGAGGTTACCTGTATGTGTCTGGGATGCCAGCAGGCCACCATCTCCGCTGCAATCTCCACCACCACTCACGGTGCCAGGGGCACGGTGGGCACCAGAGGCCAGATGCGCCTCTGGCACGCTCTCCTGAAGAAAAGGGTTTCCAAAACCTGGGAGATAGTGTAGCAAAACCCATTAAAATGATCTCCAGGTTGGAGCACCCCTCGCTCCCCCTCCACTGCAGCCCAAAGAACTCTATCCTAATGCTCAAATCAGCACAGTTTGGCTGCTACCCTGCTGAGAATCCCCTGTCTGCAGGACCCTGAGATCTCATGCCAGGGCTAAGAATGGAGCTCAGCGGTAGAGCATGCTTAAGGCCCTGGGGTTCACTCCCCAGCACTGCATATAATCCCAGGGTGGGTTCTTGTAGTCACTCTAGGACTTCATCTCTTAAATTACTAAAGCTGGAAATCTTGTTACCTAACTGCCTGGGGGACTCACCCTAGACCCCTGCCTGCTTACTCTCAGCGCTCTGAAGGCTCTCCCAGGCTCTGCCCCCTTGCCTGTGGAGCCCAATCACCAGATGCCTTTGCCCTTGTTACAAACCATGTCCATGCCCATACCTGGGAGTCTCCACATCTCATGTGCCTGGCTTTTTTTTTTTTTTTTTTTTGGCCAATCCTGGGGCTTGACCTCAGGGCCTGGGCGCTGTCCCTGAGCTAGTGCTATGCCACTTGAGCCACAGCGCCACATCAGGCTTTTTTTGAATAGTTTATTGGAGATAGGAGTCTCTAGGCCTTTTGTGCCCGGGCTGGCTCCTCAGATCTCAGCCTCCAGAGTAGCTAGCATTACAGGCTGAGCCACTCGCCCCCAGTTTGTAGTAGTAGTTGTTTTTGTCAGTGCTCCCTGGGGCTTGAACTCAGGGCCTGGGCGCTGTCCCTGTGCTCAAGGCTAGTACTCTACCACTTGAGCCACAGAGCCATCTCTGGCTTTTTCTGTGTATGTGGTAACTGAGGAATTGAACTCAAGGCTTTTATGCATGCTAACAAGCACTCTACCACTAAGCCACATTCCATGCTAACAAGCACTCTACCACTAAGCCATATCCCAATCCTGTTTTTTGTTTTTGTTTTTAATCTTTTCTCTTTTTTTGTACTGGGGACCGAACCCAGGAGGCTGTACTTGCTAGACAAGTGCTTTGCCGCAGACAGCTCTCAGTCCTTGTCCCAGACCCTGCGCCATCCTCTATGGACTCCATCAGGCCCCACCCCCTTCCACTCCACTAGGCCCCGCCCCATCACTTACAAGACCCCGCCCAGGCTCCACCAGGCCCCGCCCCCTGTCCTATAAGACCCCGCCCTCGTCCCGCCAGGCCCCACCCCCCTCGGCTCCACTAGGTCCCGCCCCCGGCTGGTCCAAATCCCCCAGGCTGGGAGATTTTCCACACCGCTGTCACCCTGGAAACGCTCCTCCCATCTCCGCAGCCGCGGGTGCCGCAACAAAGAATCAGGATTGGCCTGAACCATGAGAGGTTCCTGGCGCTTCCGTCGTCGCTTCTTCTCAAATAGAAGCCGCTGTAGGAGCAGGAAAGGGAGTGTGTGGGGGCCAGGAACCGGAGGGGAAGACAGGGGTAAAGTGGGAGAGTCCGTGAGGCCCTCTTTCCACCGGGTCCCCGCTGGTGCCTAGGCCCTCGCCTCCTTCTCCTGCCTCAGACCCATGAGCCCTAGAGCCCAGCCACCTGCTCCCCCAGAAACTAGGGTCCTACCCAGTTCTAAGGATCCCCCATTCATTAAAATTTTGAGGGTCTCATCATGAGGATTTCTCCTTAATAGCTCAAATTCCTGTTGGTCATCTCTGCGTTTGAGAACTTGAAGTCCAGAGAGAAGAAACAACAGCATTGGAGACCCTGGGCCAGTCCTGGGGATGGGTTTTCTGGGTAGGTTTGAAAGATAGGAAAGGATCGGGAAGGCAAGATTCCTGGGCATGGTACCTACCTGCTGTTCTAGCTTCTGTAGCCTCATGGCAGCGATCTCATCGCCCAAGGTCCTGGGACAAAGACAGGCCGGTAGTGACAGCAAGAAGGACATCTTGCTAGCCCAAGAGCTTTCTCCTCCCCTCCTGTCTCCGCCCAACTTGGTTTCTTAGACCAAGTGAGGTCACAGAGGGGAAGAACCTTCTCTGGTTTTGAAGTCACTGCCCCAACACTGGCCATTCTAGAATCTAAGTAGAGGTAGTTTCAAACACAGAGATTGGAGATTAGGAAAATTAAGATTGGGGGCCAGGCTGGACAAAAATTGATCAAGGCCTCATCTTAATAAACATGCCCAGCATGGTAGGCTGTGTACCAGTCATCCCAATAGAGTGGGAGGCATAAGTAGGAGGATCAAATTCTAAGGTTGGCTGTGAGCAAAAACGCCATGACTGTACCTGAAAAAAAAAAATACCTAAAGCAAAAAGGGATGGAAGTAGAGCTCAAGTGGTAGAAACTGTCTAGCAAGCAGGAGACCTTGAGTTCAAACCTCAGTACTGACAAAAGAAAAATAAAAGGAATCCAAGTAGAGATCACAGGTCCTTGTTGTCTGACAGCCAGTCACTAACCAAACACCCCTCCCAGTAGGGTCCAGAAGTTGGAGTCCCCCAGCATTTTCCTGCAAAGCTGAAGTTGCTGAGCCTATAAGCGTTCATGATATCAATGCTAAGTATAGCCAGGCCCTGGTGGCTCACGCCTGTAATCCTAGCTACTCAGGAGGCTGAGATCTGAGGATCGCGGTTCAAAGCCAGCCCGGGCAGGAGAGACCGTGAGACTCCTATCTCCAATAAACCACCAGAAAACCAGAAGTGGCGCTGTAGCTCAAGTGGTAGAGCGCTCGCCTTGAGCTGAAGAGCTGAAGGACAGCGCCCAGGCCCAGAGTTCAAGCCCCACGGCCGACAAAAAAAAAACAAAAAATCCCATAAGTGGAGGTGTGGTTCAAATGGTAGGGCAGGCCCTGAGTTCAAGCTCCAAGACCAGCGCGCGCACACACACACACACAAAGCTAAGGGGTCATAACGCACCATCAAGTTTTAAGTTCTCCCAATCCCCCCCTGCCACTGCCCATTTGACTTTCCCACTCACTCTTTCTTCAATGCGTCATTCTCCTGAGACATTCTGGAAAACCAAGAGAGTAGTCAGGATCCAGACCTAATGTCCCCATTACAGCTGCCCTCCAACACCGAATCCCAAATATTCATTGTTCCCCTGCACCAAAGCAGCCCAAACAGTCTGCCCACTTTCTGGATTTTATCACTAGTAGTAAGGCCAGAAATGTCCACCCTAACCAAGTCCCTGTATCTCTCCTGCATCCATACTGAAACTCAGGGCTCTTGGCTCTAAACCCCAGACCCCTCTCCGCATCCTCTTGCCTGGGATCCTGGAGATGCCCTTCCCTCCCCTTGAAGGGTTACTAATGCTCAACCCTCTGTGGCCAAACTCTAAACATACCTGACCCTCTCTTCTGGACCTGAGGACCAAATCTCTGGGTCTGAAAAGTAGGCTGGAAAAGATAAGGGCTGGGAGAGAAGTGGGAGTCCCACTAGGGGCTTGCCCTAGTCCAGGCCCTACTGGCCTCTCAAGATTCCTCTTCCAGCAAACAATGCTGGCCACTGAGGCGGCCTGGCAACAGCTTCCCAGGGGTTCCAAATTGGAATTGGAAATGCCTGTGGATGTTTCTTAAAGGGACCCACAAGAGGGCAGCTGGGTATTTGTGACTATCTACATTTTTTTTTTTTGTCAGTCGTGGGGCTTGAACTCTGGGCTTGGGTGCTGTTCCTGCACTCTTCAGCTCAAGGCGAGCGCTCTACCACTTGAGCCACAGCGCCACTTCTGGTTTTCTAATGGTTTATTGCAGATAAGAGTCTCATGGAGTTTCCTGCCAGGGCTGGCTTTGAACCATGATCCTCAGATCTCAGCCTCCTGAGTAGCTAGGATTACAGGAGTGAGCCACCAGCACCCAGCTACATTTTTTTTTTTGGGAGGGAGGGGTTTGGAGGTGGGTCCTGAACTATGGCCTGGGTGCTGTCCCTTAGCTCTTCAGCTCAAGGCTGAACTCTAGGCCTGGGTGCTATCTCTCAACTCTTCATCAGCGCCACTTCTGGTTTTCTGGTGGTTAACTGAAGATAAGAGTCTCACAGACTTTCCAGCCTGGGCTGACTTCAAACTGCAATCCTCAGATCTCAGCCTCCCAAGTAGTTAGGATTACAAGCATGAGGCACCAGCGCCTGTCTACATTTCGCTTAGAAGAAATTTATAAGGAATCACCCTTGTACAGCTAAGATGTGCTAACAAAAAGATTTGAATTTAAAAAAGAAAGATGTGGTTGGGAATGTGGCTTGATGGTAGAGTGCTTGCTTTGCATGCATGAAGCTCTGGGTTCAATTCCTTAGTACCACAGACACAGAAAAAGTCAAAAGTGGTGCTGTGGCTCAAATGGTAGAATGCTAGCCTTGAGCACTGAGAGTGCCCAAGGCAAGAGCCCAGGACAGGCAAAAAAGAAAAAAAGAAAAGAAAAAGAAAGAAGGCTAGGTGACAGTGGCTCACACACACAATCCTACTTACTCAGGAGGTTGAAATCTGAGATCACTGTTGAAAGCCAGCCCTGGCAGGAAAGTCCATGAGGGTCTTATCTCCAATTAACCACCAAAAAGCCAGAAGTGGAAGTGGAGCTGTGGTTCAAGTGGTAGGACACTAGCCCTGGGGAGGGGGGGGGAGGAGGCAAATAAATAAAAAGCTCAAGGACAACACTCAGGCCCTGAGTTCAAGCCAGACAGGCACAAAAAAAAAAAAAAAGAGAGAGAGAGAGACACACACACACACACACACACACACACACACACACACACGATAGGCAATGTCTATTGGGCAATTAGTCACTTTAAGGTTTAGTTGCACGAAAATGAATGGGAAAACTACATCTCCCAGAGGGCAAAGGGGCCAAGAGGTTGGGGTGGAATGGGGGAAGTTTGCTGTTTTATTGGTGGGGTGTTTTTTTTAATTTTTCGCCCCCCTTCCCCTATCTGCAGGGACCGTGCTCTGTTTTGGCCTATGACACAGGAAATACTGCAATGAGACGTTGATCTCTGAGAAAGGAGGCGGGAGGGATGGAGGAAGAAGGGAACAGAGGCCTGGGAAAACAGGCAAGCAAGCGCCTATTTGTAACGCGCGCAGCCGCTGGCCCGTCCCGCGGAGCCCGGCGCCATCGTGGACCAATCAGGCTCTCGGGGGCGTGGTCTGTCCGGGAAGTAGGCGTGGCCTGGGAGGGAACTCACCAGAAACTGGCCCGGAGATCCTTGCCCGGGAAAACGCCCACTGCGGTGCTGGGGGGGAAAGGTGAGGGGCTCAGGGTCCCAGGCTTGGGGTGCTTGGTGTGTGTGTGTGGCAGGGGAGGGGGCTGTATGGAGAGCTGAGAAGTGGGGGTACACTCTTAGGGAGGGGGCGGTCAGGACTTTGTGGGCCTGGGGAAAGAGGAGGTTGGGGGCCTGGATTGTTGGGTCCGGGCCAGGAGATGATGGGGGGGGGTCCCCATTCTGGGGCCTCAGCAGAGACTGGAGATGGCTGGCCAGGAAGAAGCCATGACCGTGAATCCGGGGGCCGGGGTACCTGTCAGGGCAAGGGAAGGCTAAAAAGGCCTGCAGCTCTGGGTCCTAGGTAACGAAATGCCTTGGGGTTTTAGCTCTGATCAGTGGGGATGGCCCTGGGAACCCCAGATTTGTAGCTTCCAGGGGGACAGAGACTTGGCACCAACAACCATCATCCACCTCCCTGCCTGCCCTAGGCCACGCCGCCATGCCTGGCTCTGGGCCCCACCGAGCCCTCTTCCTGTTGCTACTGCTGCCGGCTGCACTGGCTGTTCCCCTGGAGCGTGGGGCGCCCAGGAAGGAGGAGAACCCCGCCACCGAGAGCCCGGTGAGTAGCCCTGGGCAGGTGTTCGCATGGTGTCTCCTGGGTAGGCCCCTCCATGTTCTCCCTGCCTGGCGATCGTGACTTGTCCTTTACCTGACACTCTTTGGCAGTACCAGGGAATGGGACTTGGTATCAAACGGTGGTGGCGGAGAGGATGTCTCTGCTTCTAAGATATGGAAAATTGAGTCCGATTTTAAGTGGGAAGGTTTGCATTACTCTCCCAGGAAAACTTCTCTGTTCTTTTCACATTGCTCTTGATCCGGTGTTGGTGATGCATGCCTGTTAATCCTAGTTATTTGGTAGGTGGGAAATCTAGAGGATCTGAGTTCAAGACCAGCCTGAGTAAAAAATGATTGAGCCAGGTGCAGGTAGCTCACACTATCAAGGAAGCATAGCTAGAAGGATTTCTGTCAAAGGCCAGCCCAGGGCCAAAAAAAAAAAAGATCTACCCAGAAAAATAAAGCAAACTGAGCATAACTCAAGTGGTAGAATACCTAGCAAGCGTGAGACCTTGAGTTCAATCCCCAACACATAAACATAAAAAGGTGAGGTAGCTCAGGCTGGTAATCCTAGCTACTCAGAAGGCTGAGATCTGAGGATCATGGTTCAAAGCTAGAAAGCTAGACTGGCCAGGAAAGTCCGTGAGACTTTTTTTTTTTTGGGTCGTGGGGCCTGAACTCTGGGCCTGGTGCTGTCTGTCACTCAGCTCTTCAGTCAAGGCTAGCACTCTACCACTGAGGCAAAGCTCCACTTCCGGCTTTTTCTGCTTATGTGGTGCTGAGGAATTGAACCCAGGGCCTCATACATGCAAGCAAGCACTTTAGCACTGAGCCACCTTCCCAGCCCAAGTATTTTCTTTCTTTCTTTTTTTGTTGGTTGTGGGGCTTGAACTCTGGGCCTGGGTGCTGTCCCTCAGCTCTTCAGCTCAAGGCTAGCACTCTACCACTTGAGCCACAGCGCCACTTCCGGCTTTTTCTGTTTATGTGGTGCTGAGGAATCGAACCCAGGACCGCAATAATGTGAGGCAAGCACTCTACCACTGAGCCACATTCCCAGCCAGGAAGGATCTTTTTTTTTTTCTTTTCTTTTCTTTTTTTGGGTGTGGTTGTGGGGCTTGAACTCTGGGCCTGAGCGCTGTCCCTCAGCTCTTCAGCTCAAGGCTAGCACTCTACCACTTGAGCCAGAGTGCCACTTCTGGCTTTTTTTCTTTTTTGCTTATGTGGTGCTGAGGAATCGAACCCAGAGCTTCATGCATGCAAGGCAAGCGCTCTACCACTGAGCCACCTTCCCAGCCCAGGAAGGATCTTTTAAGCCACAGTAGAATTTGTTCCTTCTTCTCTCTCTCTGTCTCAGCACTGGGATGGAACTCAGAGCCTTACACTTGCTGGGATCATGCTCCAAGCCTGAAAATGTATTTTTTCATTACAAAGCTAATAAAATGAACAGAAACTTACCAACCTCAGTAATGTGGAGTAGAGCATAGCTCAGTGGTAGAACTTGTGTAGTATGCTAGAGGCCCTGGCTTCCATCCCCATCATCATCATCATCATCATCATCATCATCATAAGTAAGAGCAATTACACATACAGGAGGATTTGTATGCATTAAATGCAAACATGATGCTGCTTTCTACAGGAGACTTGAACACTGTGGTGTCTCTAGGGGAACTAGGACCAGTCCCCTGTGCATGGCAAGTGACAGTGTATCTATTATCCATTTTACAGACAGGAAGACTGAGGTCCAGGGCTAAGACAGGAGGATCTTGGTGATATTGCTTGCTTGACCCCTGTAGGGCTCTGTGGATACTTGTTGGAAATTGAATGGGTGGACAGAAGGTGATGTGTTTTACTGCTTCCCAATCAGCTGTGGGGTTGGGCCAGGTGCACATCCATATGGTATTTTTTTCTTGGTGGTACTAAAATTTGAACTCAGGACCTTGTGTTTGCTAGACAGGTGCTCTACTAATTGAATAAGGCCTGCTCAGGGGGAGGGAGTGCTCCCCTCCCCGGTCCTGATTTGTGTGTGTGTGTGTGTGTGTGTGTGTGTGTGTGTGTGTGTGATTGAATAAGGCCTGCTCAGGGGGAGGGAGTGCTCCCCTCCCCGGTCCTGATTTGTGTGTGTGTGTGTGTGTGTGTGTGTGTGTGTGTGTTGCTTTTGTCCTGGGAATCAAACCCAGGTGTGTGTGTGTGTGTGTGTGTGTGTGTGTGTG